TCAGGCGGTAGAAGTACAAATGTACAGAGTGAGCACTGCCGTCACCAGGGAGGGGACCATCCAGATGAAAACCGGTGTCTGTGTAAGGAAGACCATGAGGGAAGAGCGAGTGGGCCTGTGAGGCGGAGGCGTCTTCTGGTTTCGTGGTAGATGAAAGGGAACAAAAGCGTTAATTTCCCTGGACGTCATCCGCATTGTTGTTGCTCTAGATACTTTATATTATTAACAAGCGGCTTGTTCCTAAGCCGCTATAGGTGTGGTTGTTTGGCTTCTATCTGTATTTGCTTGGTGGTGGTGGCCATGGTGGCGGTGGTGGCGGCGGCGGCGGTGCACTTTCAGTGTGATTGTGTGCAGGAATATAAACACACTCTCTGAGGGCAGGCACACCTAATGCTTCGCCTCGCCCCGTTGCTCACAGACAGAAACTGCTCTCCTCATTTCTGCCTGGGTTGAGCCACTCCCGTTGCGTAACCGCAGCCGAGCTCCTAAAGCAAAAGACGACGTTTGACCTGACACACTTCTCTAATCTCAGGTTTACCCTTCTTGAGAAAGAGCCTCACTCATTCCGGTCCCTTGTTCTCAGAACCTGGGGGGGGCGCCAGGTTTCATCTCCAGCACCTGGGCAACATCAGTCTGCATTTTAGCTATGGGAAGGAAAATGTCTCCTTGCCTAGAAGCACTCGGGAGATGTGTAGAATGCCCATAACTTTCCTACACACACTGCAAGGATAGCTTTAAACGTCAGTGTGCTGTGGGCTTTGGCCAGCATTTGAGGATTCTCATTTGTTGTACCACCATATTGCAGCATCCAGACATTTCATCCATCATTCCTTGAGAACATTTTTAAAGGAAACTTGCCAGGAAGGGATATTGTAAGATTTTAAGTGTAAATGCAGAGGTAAATCGTTTTTTTCTCTTGTAATGTAGCAGTGACTATTGACGAAAGACTCTCTGAAGGAACTGGATCGGGCATACATTTAATTTGAAGAAAAAAGAAATAGTGTTTCTTCATGAAAACTAAAGTTGCATTAGGATCATCGTGTTTGGGAATTCCTAAGTTAGGAACCTGTTTTAACTTACCATGCGCATTTCATCTGGAAATCGTTTAAATTTTCTATTTAAATTTTTGCCCGGTGCGGGGGTGGGGGAGGCATGAACACTGGGTGGTTCTCTAAGAATGTAACATCTCCTTCCCCAGATGACAAAAGTCATAGGAAATGCCGTAGATGGACAAGGAAAGCCTTGAGTGAGTCAACGATGACTTAACTCGTTAATGAGATTAAATGAGCTCATTAATGAGCATTAAAACTTTGTTTTACCTGGTTAGGTAACTCACCCATTAATCTATAATACAGTTTTGTTTTGTCTTTAATTTTACTCTTCTGACTCAAAATAACTGCTTGTCCTCCGTGATCATTTGTTTTCTCGCTGCTGTGAAAACTCAAATGAGACAAGGTTGGTGTGGAAAGGGAGGATGTATTTTGACTCACTTTGAGCTGAGGGAGACACGGTGGCAAGATCATAAGCCGACAGGTCACACTGAGTCTGCAGCCAGCAAGCAGGAAGGGATGGCAGTGCTCGGCTCTCTTCCATGTTGTATTCAATCCAGGACCCTAGGACGTGGAATGGTGTCACCCAACATCACAGGACCCTAGGACATGGAATGGTGTCACCCAACATCACAGGACCCTAGGACATGGAATGGTGCCACCCAATATCATGGTGGGCCCTCTCTCTTGTAAACTTCTCTGCAAATGCTCTCACAGATGTGTCTCCAATGTGACTCCAAGTTCCACGGACTTGACGTTAAGCAGCACACACCCCAGTCTCATGACAAAACCCCTATAGTTAGTCACTTCATGAAAAGCATGTCTTTGAGAACTATAACATGCCATGACTTCTCTAAAACTCCTCACCTCATACGCCTTAGTCATCTGTTTACAAGTTGGGGTTCAAATAAGAAACACCCAACGTAGTCTTGAGTATTTGAACACTTGGTCCCAACTACTGGTCCTGTAGAGGATGCTATGGAAATTTTAGGGTGTGAAGCCTTGATGGAGGAAGTGTATCATGGGGGGCAGCTTTGAGAACATATAGCCTCACCTCTAGTTGTCTCTCTGTTTCCTGTGTATGGATGAGGTGTGATCTCTCGGTTTCCTGCCCCTGCCACTATGCCTCTCCAGCCCCTAAACCCCTGGGGATATAAAACCAAAACTAACTCTTCCTTGAGTTGTTTTTGATGGTGGTATTTTATCATGGCAATGGAAAGTAGCCAATGCATAAGTCCATCCGGATGTCAATAAGGAGAAACAGTTAACTACGAGTTGAATAATCTGCTAGGAAAAAAAATCTGAGTTAGAAAGATGAACGCTTCTCCAGGTCAGGAAGAGAAACAGAGAAGATCCCGTCCTGGCCTGGAAAGTGAGTTTGAAGTCAGGTCTCCCACACTCACCATTAGCAGCTCCTTTATCATCAGAGTATGGAGGTGCCAGAGCCCTGTGAGTCAAGGGAAATGTTTTAAATCCAGTAGTGAGCCATCAGCTGCAGGAGGGAAGGTACAGCCCGAAGCTCACCATCACCTTCTGTTGGGTCAGGCATTATAGAAGGCAGAATCATCCTAAACCTTGAACATAAGTTTTTGTATTTATTTTGATTTGCTGATTGCTCACCAAAGAAGTATTTGGGCAGTCACTGTGAATGTAAGTTTATGGGTGTTGTGTGTACATAAAACAATGTATATTGGATAGTAATTAGATAGTAAACAAGTAACTGTTAACTAAAGAAAGAGCAAGGCATGTTAATAATACTGCATATTGGCACCACCTGTAAAAGAAAGCATGCATCGTAACAGGTTCTACATGTTATGGTTAGGCACTGCCCTGTAACAATGGCTACATTTCATGGAATGTGTCATGTGTGCTACTGCTCGCCCGAGTTTGAATTCTTCATTTATATCAGCCATTCCAAAGAAGTAGGCAATGCCATACCCATTTTACCAAAGAAAACGCTCAGGTTCGTGTACCTGCAAGGGACCTGTGGAAGATCCAGCCCAGGTGTTTTTTTCTGATCCTGAAGTGCGCCAGGAGTAATTAGCATAACGCTGGTCTTCTAGTCCTGTTTCTCTGCGACTCTGTTCTGTACTCTGAGCGGGACATAGGCATCGGAAGAACCGGTTAATGTGCAAACTTCACTGTTGAGTGAAGCCTTTTCCTTGTCAGCCGCTTTGGTTTTTCCCCACCAGTCGCCTGGGCTCTGCTACGTTGTAGTCACCAAATAACACACAAGACGCTGTATTAATTATGAAGCTGTTGGCCTTGCTTGTTTCTTACTGGCTATCTCTGACTTAAGTATTTAACCCATGTAAGTATTTCTCTTACGGGAGAAAGGGGTCCGGACATCTTACTTCTCTGGCAGGCTACATTGTGACTCTTTCTGTTTCTCCTTCCCAGAGTCCTCCTGGACTCCTAGTCCCACCTACCTTGCTTCCCTATTGGCCAACAGTGCTTTATTGACATAATCATAGGGGATGACTTCCCCATCACTTCACAGTGTGCCAATCATGAGTCAGAAACACTGTAGTTTATAAATAAAAGGTCTAAACCAGCTGGCAGCATTTCCTCTCGCAAGTTTTCTGAGCCGCTTCTTGCAATTTGGTAACACATCGTTTGTTTTTATACTCCCCGGAGCACCCCATTGCTTATGTAGCTTGCCGTGATTTCCACTTTACTCCCCCAACATAGTTCATCCTTTTCCTCAAACATTCATGCTTTGGAAGGACCAAGCAGTTTACCTTTCAGGATAATTACAAACACATAGTCACATGCACGGTTCACAGGTCTTTGCATGGTTATCGTTTTGTCGTGGATATAATTTAACAATTTTCTTTTATCTCGTTGTTAATACATTGAATCTCAAAGACGAATATGCTTAACATATTGCATGTAGAGTATCAATGCTGTAGAACAGGAAAGTAATTTGGCTTAATTGTTGGTAGTTAATATGCTGCAGACTCCAAGGCTATGTTTAAAGGCATTGGTAGCATTTGATGAAAATTGATGCAAAGTTATCCCAATGGATTCAGCTGCTGCATATTTTCCCCAGTTGGTTAACTTTGTGGCCCCTTTCTCCGGGTGATGGCTTGAGGATTCAAACGTACCGCGTCTATGTGCACCGTATGTTTGTATGGCCTAACTGTAATCTTACAACTTATTGAATGTTTCCTTATCTTTGTCTTGTTACATTCATGCTCATTTCTTCTCAAAGAAGTCGAGAGGATTTTTGAATACTGTCGTACGAGACCAAAAGTCATGACAAAAATTGCAAAAATAAACTAATGGCTATAACTTAGAGGAGAATAACCTGTGTAAGGACGGTGATAAGAGTTTGAAGTGCTAAGACCTGGGCTGGTGGCTACCGAGTCTTTCCCAGGCTCGGAGTCTTAGGGTTTGATTCAGAGAGCTGAGTCTGGGCATTCTGAACGTGGCATTGCGAGTTCTGTGTGCTGACTTCCATCCTCAGACTGTTTATATTTCACAGAGTATCTGGCAGTAGGGTCACAGTCTTTCTCCAGCAAAAGGTAGTAGAGGCTCATTTCGACTTACAGTTTGAGGGTACAGGTCACTGTGGTGGAGAAATCATGACATCTTGTAACACAGTTAAACTAACTTCTTGAGCCCATGAGAGCCAAACACTTAGATTCCCATGTAGGAAACTTATTCATACCCCCCAAATCCTGTGACAAAATTACAGCTATGACATAAAAATTAGGCTGTGAGGATAACATTTGCTGTCCTGTATGTTAGTGGGTATCAATGTTTAAGTCAATGTCATTACTTGTTTGCACCTGAACTGGCCCTGAACTGGGGGTTACAGACATGCCCTACTGTGTCCGTCACTTCCTGACCAGTGTCAGCACTCTACGCTTTCCCCTGCTCCTTTTCAGTCTCCTGGGAGAGGTTTTCTGGGTGTGTTGACTTGCTTTCCTGTCCTGTTTTGCACAGAAGCGCTCCCGAGGACAAGTGCTGTTTGACAAAGTGTGCGAGCATCTGAACCTGCTGGAAAAGGATTATTTTGGTCTCACGTATCGAGACACCGAGAATCAGAAGGTGAGAGGTCAGAGAAATATGAACCACTATGACTGGATTGTCTATGACTGTAGAGAAGTGACTTGAAACCCAGCCAGAAACATGGCATTCTCTATGGATACCCCTGCCCCGTGCTCAAACACCTTTGGGTCCCCAAATGTGATTAGCCTTTCTCTTCATGAAGAAAATCCTTGGCAACTTCCTTGTGTCCTTGAATATTTTTTGAGAGAGTAGACCAGTTTCAGTTTTCGTCCTTGAGATTTAGAGCTAAGAAAACATTTGATAATGGGGCTTTTTCTCACAATATAGTTAAACCTATTTCTTGATCCCGTGAGAAGCAAATATTTAGATTCTTATGTGGAAAACGTATTCATACCCCCAAATTTCTGTGGAGAAATTACAGCTGTGACATGAACAATTGGGCTGTGAGGGTAATGTTTGCTGTCTGGTATGTTAGTGGATGTCAGTGTTTGAGTCAATATCACTAGATGTTTGCACCTGACTATGGCTGCTCAAGGCCTTTGTCCCACAACTAAGCAAGAAAACAAAGAGGGGAGTTGTTTCCATTTTCAGATGCTAAAAAGGCAGTCATGAAAGTGCAGTTCATGCGGGGTCACTTATTTCTGTTGCACACAAGTCAAGAATTACTCCTACTGAAGTGATTCCTGCAACGTCAGACTTCATTATCAAACACCTGACTTTTCCCAGGAGAAAAAAGTTTATCGGGCACTAGTTGTCAACGCATGTGTCTCCTTATTTAGTGTTTGTGCCCTCCCAAGGCTTGACCCAACCATCTGGTGGTTGGGAAGAGCCTTCCCATGTCGATTCCCTCTTGGCCGCACGTAGGGCCTGTCTGTATGTAATCATCAGACTAGGTTTATACTCGTCTCCGATTTAAGTTCATACTGTTGTTTCTCTTTCAGAACTGGCTGGACCCTGCTAAGGAAATTAAAAAACAGGTTCGAAGTAAGTTCCTTCGCATTCTTTCATGCGTCCGGGTGACTGTGTTCACGGCAGGGTGCGGGGTAAACTGTCGGCCCACACTCAGGTGACTCCCACATGAAGAAGAGATGGTTCAAAGAGGGATTGTAAGCTGGAGCACGACCTAGCACATTGCTCTTGCTTCAGCAGGACCTGGTTTTGCCATCACGACTCAGAAACTAAAATGCCTCTGACGGGTGACCTGGCCGTTGCCTGTACACAGACGTGAAATGCAGTTTCGTCAGGTTTTGCTACACTTACCACTTAATCGTGTCAAGTTCCAAACTTAATGACTCACGTTAGAACTGCTGCCAGTGTGCAGAAGCCACACTAAAACCAACCGTTTGATGGCTTTGAAAGTGGGCGACAAATCAGTTGCCTGTGGTTGCTGGGAGCCCCTCGAAGACAGGGGATTTCTGCTAGGCTTGGTGGCAAGTGTTTGTAAATCCCAGCCTTGAGGAGGCTGAGGCAGGAGGTCAAAGAGATGGAACTTGACGGACAACAGAGAAGTGTCTGCTTCCTAAGTGACAAGATGATTCCATGAGCATATCGTAAAACCGGGAGTATAAATAGCTAATAACATTAAGCAGGTTGCTAAATGTAGTGGTTGGATGCAATTAAAATGAGACATTGCTTTTCATTTATTCATATCAGTGAAGATTTCCTAAGTTTAATACTTTTTTAAAGTAGTCTTTACTGGCTAGTGCCCTCCACAATGGTGGAACAAGCCCTTTCAGAGAATGGGTGTCAAGCTAATCAACACAGGTCACAAACTTACGTAAATTCCGACACTGGAGATTGTGTTCTTAGGAATGAGCTCCTGTTCATGTGTTTTATAGAGCCACGCCAGGTCACAAAAACCTCACAGTCCGCCACATATGTGGATAGCGTATTTACGATAAGGTAATTTAAGGCACATAAGAAGAGTGTGACATATAGTCATTTATGGTGTCAGAACGCTGTAGAATTTTAAGGTCTGTCATGCATTGAGAAACTTTTCATCGGACGGTTTTCCATTTATATGCCACACGTTTATAACTTGAAATGCAGCAGGGTGTACAGGGATATTTACCTCAGTGTGTTGGAGCCGTGTCACCTCCTTTTTCCCACCAGGACGTCCTCCGAGCTGAGGCAGGGCTGTAGGCTCTTATGCATAGGCCCCTCTTCCCAGACTATGTGATGCTTCCCACCCCCTTCCTGTCCCCTCTCCCCCTCTCTAAATTTCTCTTTCTCATTAAAATGTCACATTTTCACTGGCTTTTTGATTGGGGCCTTAACGGGTGTGTAGATTGTATTATTGTCTCCTTGACATTCCCACCTGTTTAAAAACGCCCAGCAAGACTTGGTAGCGATTCCAGGAAAGAATGTGACCCTTTGTAACGGCGGCCATCATGGTGATGGTGCACATACATGCATGTGCACACACACACACTCACACACACACACACACACACACTCACACACACTCACACACACACACACTCACACACACACACACACACTCACACACACACACACACTCACACACACACACACACACACACACACACACACACACACTCACACCTCCCATCCTGGGACCACAAGGGTGCTTACTAAAAACCAGAGGGTCAGGACGATACTCCAGGTCTCAGGAATGGAAATCTCTGGGATAAAGCTCGGAAACTGGCATTTCTCGAAACGCTTCCAGCACATTTACGCTCGCGGTCACTTGCGAACTGGCGTGTGGGATGAGGTTTTCTGGGCTGAGACGCTTTGCTTATGCTTCCTATTGGTTAGCTCCCAGCTTTGAGCTGTCACTCGGGGATGATTACAAAAATGGTCTTAATTGCACCGCGGGACTTGCCATTGGAATCCAGGCTTCCTCGAAGTAGATGGAAGTTATGAAATAACAGTGAAACCTCCCCCATTGGCTTGCTGTAAAGTCAGCTCCCGTTAACAAGCTCGCTATAATAGGCAGACACCAAAGAGGTCTGTTTTTAATAAGAATGGAACCAGAATCAATAGGAACATTAAAAAAAAGAAGACTCTGTAAAGTGACAAAAAAAAAAAAAAAAGGCATTTTCCGGACCAGTAGGAAAAAAAGATCACTAGAAATGTATTTGAAATGGTGGATATTTATGGCTCATAATTCTTAAAGACCGTGGTGCCTTCCTGTCTTGAATGGCTTGAAAATGGTATTAAGTACCCCAAATAATAGCTGGCGAGAGACCATAGAATCTTAAGGGTGAGGTGGGCGGTAGTTCGGAGACTTCCCCAGAAGATGTAAGTGGTTCTGTGGCATCGCTGACAGAAATGTAGAAACTGACAAAGCCAAGCGTTGCCCCGTGTGCAAGAGAGGGAGCCAGGAAATGTGGGTAGCGATCCCCTTGGCCCAGTGTGTTTGGGAGTGGCTTGTGGAGCCCACGGAGTCCCCAAAGGTCATCTCACAGGCAGAGGAGGCAAAGGAGGAGGACGGGGAGGGGGCTGGGCAAGCAGGAGCCGTTCAGGGGGTCACAGACAACACGGATGAGAGAGCAAGCCTGCGGCGCAATGGAAGGTAAACTTCCCTTTCCTGACGCTCCTGGAGGCGACACTAAAGGAACCTTTAGTGTAGCTGTTGACTGGAGGAAGTGACGCCGTGTCGCAGAGAAGGAATGCCCAGGAGTTGATAAAATCCCTGCCGAGAGAAATGAACAAGGCAAGTAAGAGAAACGAAGATTACTTCTTTAAAAAAGAAGAGGAAGAAAAGTACAGAAAAGAAGAAAACGAGCGTGCTTCTGGTTCAAGTTTATGTTGATAGTCAGTCTCTCGGTTCCTGAGATGTGGGGCTCAGTGTGGCGGGATAGCATCTAACACTAGAAAGATGCACGAGAGAGCCACCATAAAGGAGCAATGGTTTGCTCTGGCCCACAGTTCTGAGGCCTGTGCAATTGCAGCAGGGAGAGAGCGACACTGGGAAGTTGCCGGAACTGAGGGGGTACGCGCCTTTGTCACAATGTCCCTCCTCTAACGCCCATGGAGCTATGAATCTGTAGCTGGATTAGTCCATTCATGTCAGTCAGTATCCAGTCACATCAGAGGTCCGGCGTGAGCACAGCTTTGGTGACGACCAAGCCTTCAGTGTGAGCTCTTAGGGACCATTTTAAGTCCGAACCACAACACTGGGTAATGCTTTAAGGTTAGGCGTGTACAGACGGTGCAGAGAATGGGGAAGCCAGCGTCCGTCCGCCTGACTCTGTTGCTGCTGAAGAGAACGTTGAAGATGCCAGAGGCAAAGCATGATAAGATATAAAGAAAGACCCGAGTGAGTTGTGGGTGAGGGTTGGGCGGCGTTCCTTCGATGCATTCAGACATCCACTATATTGAGACTGTCTCTGAGCAAGAAAGGAATCAGCAGTCTGCAGATCAGCCCATTTACTGAAAGCCATATTCACCATGACAGAACCTTTCCCGTAAAATAAACAGAAGTGCACTGGTCCCTTGACATTTATCGTAACAGGATTTGACCTGCAATAACAGAGCAGAAAGGACCTAGAGGATGGCAGTTCTGTCTGTGCTGTTGGCATGAGAACTATCAAGAAATCCATAAGCAGTAAATCTAGCCAATTCCAGTTATCTGATACAGGTTTACCCCTGTCTCTTGATCATGAGAAAAGGGGGGACAAAACGGTGAATTCCCTTGCTTTTTGAAAAGTGCCAGTAAATGACCTGACTGGGGATAAGGCTTGAAATTATCTATACAGTTCAGTTAACATTGATCAAAACTTGTCTGGTGTTAACGCATGGAGTTGAGGCAGTTGGAAATTGAGTTAAGAACTGATTAATCGTTTCGTTGATTGTAGTTTCCTAAGGATGTGTTCTGATGTGTGTCCTACCCCACAGGTGGTGCTTGGCATTTTTCATTTAATGTGAAATTTTACCCACCAGACCCCGCCCAGCTATCAGAAGACATCACCAGGTATTTGAAAGATGGCTCTGGGAACAGCGGGCACATTGGGAGACTCACATAATCTCTTGAGTGCTCTGGGAAGAGCTTGCACACGTCTGGTCCCTTACAGTCACCGTCTCTCCGACCCTCCCGGGGAAAACATTCAGAGTTGAGATACAGCCACCCACCCCACCCACCACAGCCAAACTGGATGGGATTCAGCCATAAATGATAGAGCAACACTGAGTGGTCCTGATGCAAAACTTAAATTGCAGATATCTTCATATGCGTGCTCTGTACGTAACCAGCCTGATACTTCGTAGCTGTTGAGCAGTCAGAGAGAGAGAGAGAGAGAGAGATTGATGGAGAGAGGGGAAAGCATGAATAAATCTAAGGCTTAGCTTTCTCTCATGTGTCCATAAAATTTCGGGAAATGATGGATTTATTTTCTGGGAAAGAGGGTATTAAGAAAAAGATCTGAGGCACAATTGTCCCAGTGCAGTGGTTGAGCTTAGAGTATGAAGAGGGGTCCCCCTTTACAAGAGTACGTGATGTAACTTAATCTCTTCTTGCTCCTGTCCCAGATTACCCAAGACTGGTTTACAGATAGAAACTCGCTTGATGCTTTCTGGAGATTGAAAGGTCAAGTCAAGGGTGCTGATGTGAGAGGTTACATACAGACTGCCTGCTTATTACCGTGTCCTCTCCCCAGAGAGTTCCCCTGTAGCCTTTTGAAAACCACTGACTGCATTTATGCATGCTCTACAATCTTGATCAGATCATCGCTCAATGACACTGCCTCCCAACACATCAAACTGAGTGGGGCTAGCATTTCCAAATTTGGATTCAGGGGTAGAAGCTGGGACAACACAAACACACGCAGGACCATCCTTCTCCACTCATACGCCTTTGTAGATGTTTCCACCTTGCGCTTTGGAAGCCCCAACCCTTGCCGTGTTTGGTAGTGAGCTTATGACCAAAGTGACTTAGTCTTGTATGTGCATGGTTTTCTGTGTGTCTGGTGAGTGCGTGGTTTTCTTAGTAAACCTCACACCCTTTTAGAAGGATTCTCAAAGAAAAGAAATGACTTCCACTTGCTGCATAGAAAAATACGTTTACCAAAATCTTCCAGAAGGTGTTGACAATTTGTTCCAGGGGACTTCTTTGATATTTGCAGGAAATCGGAGAAAATTTCTATTTCATCTATTTAAAGATACTTTTGTCCAGAATTAAATTATTAGTTATGACTAATTTTGTGATTTACACACCCTAAATGTTCTTAGACTTATAACTGCATGCACAGTTCCTTTCTACTGTGTAGTGTCTGTAGAACCTGTGGAATGTGTAGGAAGCCTAGTATCTGAATTACACAGACTACTGGTAGCTGAACTTGCTTCCTGGAGGCCTGCAGACCTCTCTCTCACAAGTAGAGTAGGTGACTACGCGCGTCAAAGCTCGTGGGTGTCAGCACTTACCCTCCGTGTTTATCCGTGAATCTTTATTTAATTTTTATTTTATTTTTCCTTCATCTGTGAATCTCAGACAGAAGACAGATCGGCTACTGATGTAGTTTCTTTAGGACATCGCAGAACTATGTGGAAAATGCTTTTATATCTCCCCTACCCCCATTTAAAACTCTTCACCTATAATGACAAGAATCCCAGATTTCAAGGTGGGAGATTTTTATGGAATTTGTGTCAGCTAACTTCCAGGAAGTTGTCACACTAAAAAGAGTAGACATGGTTTGTTCACAGAAATGCAGCCACTGAGAACAGAATTCCTAAAACATAGCCACTGGGTTGTCTGAGGACGGCTTGGTCACATGAAAAGACCTGGCACCTAGATTTTTGGAATGGGCCCGCCCTGAAGGCTGCATGGGTCTGGTGGTTTTTGTATAAGAACGTCCTTTTATGTTACAAGTTCACCCCGGCTGGTTTCCGAGAGTGTGCAATACTAGGAAAGTGCATCTTTAAATGCCTTTCCCTCTGCGCTTGATGTGTCCTTCTTCTCAGCTCCCTGAATACTACCTGCAGCCTGGCAGTGTCTCCTTAACTAGACTGATTATAGTTGAAATCATTATAAGGGTATGCAGCATGCAGCGGTATCTTTAAAGATTTTACTGGCCTGGGAGAAACTGTTTATGATTATAAGGGTATGCAGTGTTGTCTTTAAAGATTTTACTGGCCTGGGAGAAACTGTTTATGAATACTAAGTGATTTCCGTTTTTGTTTATTCCTGATTCTTTGGGGGGGGGAGATCTCGCACATGTCTCGCACATGAATACCATGTTTTTAGAACGTGCTCACCCTGTACCGCCCCTCCCGACTCCTTTTGGTGTGTCCTAACGCCAGCTCTCTCTCTCTCTCCTTGTCCCTCCGGCCCCTGGAAGGTACTACCTCTGCTTGCAGCTACGCGATGACATTGTGTCTGGGAGGCTTCCCTGTTCCTTTGTGACCCTTGCCCTGCTGGGCTCCTACACTGTGCAGTCAGAGCTCGGCGACTACGACCCCGATGAGTGTGGCAGTGACTACATCAGCGAGTTCCGCTTCGCACCCAACCACACAAAAGAGCTGGAGGATAAAGTGGTCGAACTGCACAAGAGCCACAGGTTGGTTCAGAGAGAGCCCCCCCCACCTCTGTGCATTCTTTGCAGTGAGAGCATCATGGGACCTCTGATAGCAGGGAGACTGGGGGGTGGGGGAGGGAGTTGGACAGAGGCCACACACGGTTAAAATGATGGTGTGGGTAAACTCCCTCTCAGAACCTCCACAGGCATCCATTTGTGAATGTTCCTACAAAGCTGCCTCGTGACTATTTTCCCCAATGTATATGCTAGGAATCTCTTACCCACCATGCTTGGGAGCAGACATGCTTCAGATGCCCTGTGTTTTCAGACTATTGGGCAGTTGTGTAATGTAGCAGCAGCATGTCTTTGGGATGAAACAAGAGTCTGAATAGGAAACTTCATTCATGTTTCGTAAACACGGAAGTTTCATGACCTTCAGGTGGCGTTATACAGTATTTTTAGAATTCCTTGTGTGTTGTATCAGTGCTTTAGAAGATGCAGGTTTTTGGAAAGTTTCAGCTTTGAAAGTTTAGATGTGGGGAGTGCTCAAGCCTGTGTCTGCTGGTTTCCCAATGATGGGTTCCTTACACGATAGGAGGGAGTGAAGGGGGAGACTTTGCAGCCCAACCAGGTAAAGGAAAGCAGCTGACTGCCATAGGGGAGCAAAGGTGGCTAATTGTTTTTCCGTTTTCAACTCTAATTGATTGGAGAAGTTTAACGCTTACTTTCTTCTAATCAGAGGAATGACGCCAGCGGAAGCAGAGATGCACTTCTTGGAAAATGCCAAAAAACTCTCCATGTATGGGGTAGATTTACATCATGCCAAGGTATGCACTTTCACACCCTAGTCGGCTTGATTCTGTTATTGCCACAAGCTGGAATTTGGGCTTCATTTAGTGGGAATGAATACTTCTGTGTTTCAAACTGTCGTGGCCGGAACCCCGTTCCACGTTAAAACAAGTAGTGCTCATCTTTGTAGGGAGGTAGGTACCTACCTTCATGGCTCAGACTTACATTACTGCCGTTGGCTACGCCCAGTGGAAGACAGCCAGGCATGGGGTCTCTGCTGCCTGTTGATTCCACTGTAAACTTAATCCTGACCTAGCCCTAGTTTACCCTGCCTTCCCTGTGCTGATGTGTATGTACCCTTTGTACCCCAAATACCTTGCTCTTTCCCTCTTTGTCTGGACAGTCCTGCTCTTCTCTGTCTGTCTGTCTGTTTGAACTTGGCCAATTGTCCAACGCTGTGTTATATCTGTGATGTGTCAATTACTGTTTGTGCCCCTGTTTTAAAGCCCTACTAAGCATTTAGGGAGTTTACGTCACATATAAAGAACTCTATCTCTAAGATTCAGTCTCTCTGACATATATAATCAGTGCTTTGAAATATGATGCCTTTAAAAGTACAGCAGCTAAGAGTAGCCATTCAGGGCAGGGATTGCCTTACTGGCTGGAGTGATGCAGGGTTTGAAGTGCGTCTTGGGAAGGAAGGAGTTGGGATTAAGCCACAGGAGGGTTTTGATTGTGGTAGAGGATGGGCTAGCTTTCACTCTATGTCATGCTTTTCCTAGAATTTCCTACACAACATTGAGAGGATGAGTCCTTCACTACAAGTCTACTATTTAGACAGCTGTGAGCAAACATACTGTTAAAATACAGAGAAGCACTTAAAGTATTTATCAACAAAATATGTGAACTCTGTTGGGACTCTAGAGATGGAATCTTGTACTTTAGCCTTGTTCAAAAGGTCGGTCCTTAAAGATCGTGAGTTGTTTCTTCTGGCTGACACTGACAAGATAATATCAGTCCTGTATAAGAATACAGATCTGACTTCTGATAGATGTCCCCAGTTTCCCAGTCTGGAGCTCAAAAGATGGTGTGATTGCAGGCTTCCAAGGAAGCCAGACTCTTAAAGTGAGTTCTGAGGCCTAGAGATAAAGAAATCCCAGCTGGCCAACTTCGAGCGCACATCCCAGCCACCGTGGTGAAGAGAAGGAAGTCTGTGTTCTCTAAGTCCTGTTGATAAGTAGGGGAACTCTTGAGTTGACTTTTGGGGAGCAAGGCAGACCTACAGTGAGCTTAGACAGGAAAATGTAGACCTCTAGATTTCATGGGCGATATCTATGTGGTTTGATTGGTGATACCTTTGGCTCACCATGAACATCACCAAGGACAAGCACTTACTAAGTCACGTGTACTTTTAAGATGTCTATGGCCATGGCTGCGGCTCCTGCCAGGGGTACGCCAGTAGAGTAAATGCCAGGATCCTTGGTGTGTGTGTGTGTGTGTGTGTGTGTGTGTGTGTGTGTGTGTGTGTGTGATCACAGCAGTGGGTTCCTTTTTCACTCATTTTTTTCTTCATTATGCCAGATATACATTTGGAAAATGACCTCAAAATAAAACTAAGGACATACAGTGAGATTTTACTTTAAATCCCTTTTATATTTTCTCCATTTGTCTAAAAGGTGAGGAAATGAACATGAAAAGATAATCTGAGTGAATGCGGCGTGACTTTTGCCTTACGTCACGCGTCATGCACTGTGATTCATTTTCTACCTAGACATAAAGATTAGCGCATCCTTGGGGAAGTGCCACTCAGGATGTATCATTGCTGCCAGGAAAAAAAATCACACCACTTAGCATCGCGGTACCCACTGAACTTAAATAGATGGCTGCTTTTTATTTAATAATATGAGCTGAAATTATGCCAATTAGGAATAATGAATTACGGAAGCAGAATGCATCCTGTTATAGGATTTTATCTGAATATTAAGTATAACAAATGATTCAGTTGTAGACTTCATTTTTCTCATAAAGCCGCGCTCCATCGTTTCAAGAAGGAAATTGACTGAATTAAATTAGTGCTAATTTCTGGCCATCAGTGAGATGCGCGTCTCTCGTGTGGATGGCACAAGTGTCTTTGAGCTCAAGACCCCCTTAAACATTCTGGATTGCCATCTTGGACTCAAGAGCGCATCCTAAAGAGTAAACAACCATATGTGATGATGGTCTTGTACTTGGGGAGCCTATCCTGAATAATGTGTTCTCTTTTAGGAAATCTATATGTACTTCTTTGTCAATATCCATCCTAACTAGGTTTTGCCAAAGCTGTTTATTTGATGTAAGATTGTGAAGCATGCGTGTGCGTGTGTTTACACACATGTGTGTTCCCATCAGATGTCCTATGGATGGAAATACTGAAGGACAGTAATAGTTTAACAGTGACTCTGAACAGAGAGAAGGGCTAGGTGTGGGGACATAGACCTGTCGCCTGAGCTCTCCGGTGGCAAAGGCAGGAAGGTTGAGAGTTGGAGGCCACCAGAGCTACATAAAGATCTCAGCTGTCTGTAGTTCACCGGGAGAGCAAAGCCCCCGGTTAAATCCTCAATGCTGCAAGAAGGCATGAATGAATGAATGAATGTGATTTCAAGGGGTAACAGAACTTTTTGCCCTCATCAGGACAGACTGACACACCCCAGGTCTGCCTCCAGTGCCAGCACAGCAGGCGTGTGAATGCCACCACAGAGAAATGCCCCAAGAAGAACAATGGAAACTTCAATGTCCAGAGTCCTTGGGAGTATCCCAATCTGTGGCTATGGCAGAAATCTCTATACAGAAATACCCTTTGTTGTCATAGTTAATGAGCTGTGCTGGCCAGTAATGGGGGCAAAGCAGAGTGTGGCACAGCTAGGTGTCCAGGGAAGGGAGAGGAGGGGAGGCTTGGTCTCAGCACCACGGGCTGCCAGAAGGGAAGGCGATGAAGATGTCTTAGGGAGTCACACGCAGTAGGTGCACAGGAGGAAGGGTGGGCCTTCCCTTCCTTCTTTGTGTGTGAAGGACACAGTTTCCTTTATGTGAGCATACATAGGTAATAATGGAAATGGTTTTAATATCCCTTTCCTCTTTGGACAAAGGCGTAAAATCATTTATAGGCAAAGAGAATGACTCACAGAGCAGCTGTTGACGCATTGCCTCCTCCGGCTGGCCTGTCTGCTTATGCTGGCCACAGGGGCAGACTGGCTGGTTTTCGGGGTTCGATACCAGTGACTTTGGGGATGTCAGGTTACAAGTTCTGAAGTTGCATCTTCAAATTAAAGCCCCTCCAATAAGGGGCATTCCCCCCCCCCTTGTTTTGTTATAATGTGAAACCCTGATTTCAAGTCATCTCACTTTATGGAATAAGTTGATATCCAGCAGGGTGTTGTTTCCAAGCAAAGTTATCTGACTTTAAACTATTGCACTTTTTAGAACTTTAACGTTTTCGCCGGGCGGTGGTGGCACACGCCTTTAATCCCAGCACTCGGGAGGCAGAGGCAGGCGGATCTCTGTGAGTTCCAGGCCGGGCTGGACCGATAGCCTCCGAAACAATACAGAGAAACCCTGTCTCGTAAAAACCAAAAAAAAAAAAAAAGAACTTTAACGTTTTCAAGTGAAAGGATTTTCACTCTGGGAGCATCCAGCCCTCTTGCTCATGGTGAGGGACATAGAGACCTCCCACCACGTAGAAGAGCGGAGGTTCCCCTGTGCGGTGTGTTTCAATCACTCCTTCTCTACTTCTCTGGCGACTCCAAGCTGGGAGGCCCATGCCAACTACCAGACAGAGTCCTGAGTGTCACTTCCTGGGCGGGACCTGCTTGTGAAGCCTTCGGTGCACCTCACATACACTCTGATGCCATCCGGTCTTTTACCCTTCAGAGTCACCACAGAGGTCCATATTACAGATTTTGGTGGATAAAAACATTCAAAGGGGACAGACCTCACAATGACACCTCTTAAGTCAGGGTACTGGGCAACTCCACACCTCAGTGTTTTATAGTGAAGACTCTGTGTGTGTGTGTGTGTGTGTGTGTGTGTGTGTGCGCGCGCGCGCGCACGCGTGCAGTATGAGTGCTGTAAGTCTCATATACTCGGGTGAATTGATTTAACTTCACCAGCCCTCCACAATGAATAATACCATCATTAAAATGCTATTATGTTGTAGTGGTGTTTTAAAAATTGCAGCAGTATTTTTCATATTTAAATTAGTCGATTATAACTTCTGTCATGGAAACCTAAATCTTGTATGTGCAGAAAATGGAAATAAGTGAGATACCGCTGCATTATTTCTTTCAGGATTCAGAAGGAGTAGAAATTATGTTAGGAGTCTGTGCAAGTGGTCTATTGATATACCGTGACCGGCTTCGAATAAACAGATTTGCTTGGCCCAAGGTCCTGAAAATTTCATATAAACGGAACAACTTTTACATTAAAATCCGGCCAGGAGAGGTAAGTACACCCATATTTTCACAGGCTTCGGGAAGAAAGGCTCCAAATGCAAGCAGAAATATAAGCTATGTGTTTGTGAGTTCCAAGCTTTGTGGTACAGGGAGAATTATGTCTAAATGCCTCTGAGAATTTGTCATAGCTTTCTCCAGTAAATAGTAACAAAATGTTCCCTTCTTTTTAGGTTATTCAGACTGCATACATTAACTGAAAGAACTTTTAAAATCATATTTTAATGTAGAATCAAGATTCCTAACTAATGTTTGTATACTTCAGGCTGTGGCGAGGAGTTCTGTTTCTCTGTGTCCTGTTACAGTCTGACTCCCCATGTGTCCTCCTATAAATCTGGCTGCTCCCCCAAGTCAATAGCTTCAGGATACTATGCCTGAAGGTACAAGAAACACTGGAGCGGAGTTCTCAATGTGAATTAGGTAGCTTTTTTTTAATTAGACCAACTAAAAATAAGAATCGCTAATACTCTTTAAGCAACAGCACACACAATGAATTTATATCTTCCTTGATGATTTGTACATAGTAAGCCATAAATGCCTGCTCCTCAACGCACACTTAGGAGAAAACTAATAAATACCTAAAATTTTTAATAGGAGTGGTTAGTATATTAAAGGCTGTCAAACCTCAGAGATCCCTGCTCACTTACATCTCCGAACACTTTCTGGTATAATGCAAGGATCATCTCTCTTACGATTTTTTACCTCTTCACTGATTTCTGAGTGGAAAGTCATTTTTATAACTTAAAATATAAGGCTGGAGAAATGGCTCTGTGGTTAAGCACACTTGTTGCTTGTGTAGAGGACCTGGATTCGATTACCAGCACCTAATGGTGGCTCATAAACATCTGGGACTCCAGTTCCGGGGAATCTGAAGCCCTCTTCCAGAAGTTTCCTCAGGCACCAGCCATGAAAACAGTGTGCTTACATACATGCAGGCGAAAACACTCATTCATATGAAATAAACCTTTAAAATGTTTAAAAATTAAAATTTAGGACAAGAATCATATTTAATGTAAATGTGAAGTCATAATTATAGTCACATAATAAGTAAGTCACATGATTATATGTGAAATTGTAGTGTTTTAAATATAGTTCTTAAAAGATTATGTGATTAATCCCAGCACTCGGGAGGCAGAGGCAGGCGGATCTCTCTGAGTTCGAGACCAGCCTGGACTACCAAGCGAGTTCCAGGACAGCCTCCAAAGCCACAGAGAAAGCCTGTCTCGAAAAAACAAACAAAAAAAAAGATTATGTGATAATCACATAATGCATACATTCATTGGAATGCAGTGAAAACTTGAGTGATCATGCTTCTTGTCAGACAGTATGTTGAACATTAGAAGTAGGTAAATACTACCTGTCTTTCTCTTAAGGCATTTCCCACTTACTTCCCATTGAGCAGAGAAACAGTGAGTGCTGGAAGCTGTAATACTGTGTTACACACTAGATGGTGCCTGTAGATGTGGAGTGTGTTACACACTAGATGGTGCCCTGCAGATGTGGAGTGTGTTGCACACGAGACAGTGCCCTGCAGATGTGGCATGGGCAGTTTTGGGGGAAGTTGGAGGGCAGAGCTGGTGACATGTACTGACAGCCAGCCATGATCCGTGGAAGGTTTAAATAAGGACATAACACGCAGGAGGAAGCACTTTGCATTCGCAGGTTTCATAATGAAATCCAACTACACAGTGTGACCATGTGAGAGGACCCAAATGGCTCGGGAGGCTGTAGGAAGAGAATGGAAGGCACAGGCTTGCAGGAAGGCTCTAGGAGGGACTGGCAAGCTCCAGGGCAGAGTAGGGAAGGGGGGTGACTGTAGAAGTTTCCTTTTACTTCCCCGAGAGTCAGAGGCTTAGGTTCCCGAGGGAAAGTTTGGGTCAATTTTTCAGAAAATAACTAGGATTGAAATTCTTTTAACACAGATCTACTCCCTACTCATCAGTTTCTCTTGGTTGAAATTATTAAGTTTACCGTTTTCTTTTTTGCATTAAATTTTAAGAATCAGAAAGGAAAACCAAAGTCAGACATCATGAAATAAAGGTCTTCTTTTTTTTTAAGTGTCAGAATGGCTCAGTCACTTGGTAGGCTTGCTGGGGTCAAGACAGACTTTAAGGATTAGCTCTTGCACAGTAGACAGTAGGTCATCACCAGCTGTGTACAGCCTATTGAAGGTCTTTGGCACGGCATAAATTTCCCAAAGAATAAGGAAGGGTTCAAAAGGAAGCCCTGATAAGTTAAGGAGAGGGGAAGCAGGAAGAGCATCACAGGGAGAAGCAGACAGACAGCCGTGGACGTTAGGGACTACGTGCCATGTGACGTCAGTCCCTGGGGGGGGGTGATCTGCTAGCAACTCTGTGGGCTACACAGGGGGCATGCAGAGAGTGGGCCAAGGAAAATGCGTTATGAACAAGTAAGGGTTGGGAAGCAGTGAGCTATCAGAGGCTGCAAAAGGGTGGTTCCTTGTCTATAAATCTGAAAGAGAGCGGCGAGTAAGGCTTTGGTCCTGGCAGAAGCAGGTGCAAAGGAACTTGTATCCCCAGTACTCATATTTAAAGGTTAAAAAAACTGCCGGCGGCATGCAAGTTCTGCAGATACTAGCCGGAGCGGGGGAGACTTCGGCGGACCAGGGGCCGCTCATCCTGTGCTAGGGGCAGCGGAAAACGGGTCTGCTCCCACGAATGAGCAGCTAGAGGTGGAGAGTGGAGTGAGGCTTTCCACGGGCGGAAGGAGGGAACTGGGTTGGATGGAGATGGCCACCAGATGAGGCTGCGCTTGGAGGAGCAAGGTCTTCCAGTGCTCTGAGCTCCGTCAGTAAATAGAGCCGGCAATGAATCTGACATTTCAGAACACGTAGTAGTAGTAGTAGGGATGGTTTGCAGTATTCTCAGCATTGATTCACGTGCACGCGCGTGAGGTGCCAAATGTGCCAAACACCCCTGGTCCAGTCATCACATTGAAATTACACAGTGTATACTCCAGAAATATGTACACTTAACTGCATGATGATAAAAAATTTTGAAAACAAGAGGAGAGAAATCCCTCCCAGCATCTTAAACGGAGATCGGGCTGACTCGTCAGCCCCTGGCCTGGGCAGGGGCGTCCTGCTCTTAGATGTTAGGTGCAGGACTAAAGGATGGTATTTAGTCAGCAGTCACAGTGCTTACCCGGACCTTCAGAAAACCACAACTTTTCCAACTACCGCTGTGGGAAGGGCCAAAGCAAATTAAACTGGGCAAGGCAACCTTTAACGCATTTCCCGGTTCCCCCAGTCACCTCAGCAAGCAGGAAGGAAGAGGTCAGTGGGAATCATATCCCCCACGCCTGCTTATAGCTCACCTTGGTGCTTAGCCGCAGGAGTTACCTTTGCTGTTGAAATCAACAGCCCTGTAGGCCTGCGCTTGGGGATTAAGCCTGTATGTGTGAGTCTGCCCTCTGCTGGCCGGATGTTTGACGCCTGCAGACACTGGAAGCGGCTGTGCATCCGGGAAAATAACACTAAAATATGACACACAGGGAGGACAGATATTTCACCTTGAAGGCTTAAGTGACTCGCTGAGCACCATCTGAAGATTCCCAGCTAGTTGGGAAATGTGAAAATATGCCCTGCCAGTCTGTGATGTGAATAATACAGAGAGGTGTTGGCAGTCGGCACTTATAAAAAACACAGGGGAACTCAGCAGTTCAGAGCAAAGCATCAGGTGTGCAGAAAGGATATGTATTTTCAGGTAGGTGCTAGAAAAAAATGCTATTTCTATATCCGCAATAGACTGCTTCTTACTTTTGGTTTAATTTCTGAGGATTTGAAGTCAGGTCCTTATGCCACCGACAAAACACAGAGACATAACTTAAAATGAGATCGGGACGAATTGATCTCGAGGCAATCCCCGTGTCTCACGGTTGGTGAGGTGGGTGATCGCACGGATTGTTGACAGCTACCCACACTGGTCAGGCATTTTTTTAAAGGTGGTAGATAAAAGATGGTTTTTGAAATGAGTGCATTCCCAGTATGAATTCCGCATGCCGACAGTCGACTCGGTAGGTAGCCAAAGGAATTATGGCAGACCGTAAGTCTGTAAACTATTTGCAGGGCTTTCATTTGCAAGACACCAAACTGAACTCTGCTCTTTTCCTGTGTTCTTAATTCTTTAGTTTGAACAGTTTGAAAGCACCATCGGGTTCAAATTGCCAAACCACCGCGCTGCCAAGCGCCTCTGGAAAGTGTGTGTGGAGCACCATACGTTTTTCAGGTACGGGGAGGATACTTAGGCTCCTACCTAGCAAAATTTTGAACTGTTGGGGGGCCACTGGTGCTAGGGGGAGTAAACAGTTACGGAGGAAAACATCGTGGGCCCTTTCTACTCCTGTAATCACAGGGTCACTGTTTCTCCTCTTTGTCCCTCTCTCCTTCCTCTGTTGGGGAGGAGGGGCACGGGCACACGCACAGAGGTCAGAGGACAAAGTTGGGTGTCCATCCTCACGCCCACTGTGCTCAAGATGAGCCCTGTTGCTCACTGCCGTCCACAGCAGGCTGAACTCCCCTCATCTCCCTGCAGGCACATTTGTGTCACAGGATCCACCCCGCCCAGGCTTGAGTGGGCTCTGGGGACCTGAACTCGGGTTCTCATGATTCTGTGGTACCCCTCTTCATCTCTCTTTTTTTTTTTTGAGACACAGCCTCACTGTGTGGTGCAAGCTGTCCTGAGGCCCCTAATCCCCATCCCTCCACCTCCTGAGAGCTGGGATCATAGGCCTATGCTGGCATACCCAGCTCACGCTGAGCTCCTTGGATAGGAATCCTGAAGGACCAAATCTCAGTAATTTTCCTTAATTTGTCTTGCATTATCCACTCTTGACCTTTTCTTTATTACTGTGTGTTTTCATCATTTTATTTATTTCATAGTTTTTAAAGTATCCTGTTCCGTGGTGTGTGTGTGTTTGTGTGTGTATGTGTGTGGTGTTGGAAACAAGGTCTCCCATAGCCCAGGTTGACCTTGAACTCAACTCACTGTGTAGTTGAAAATGACCTTGAGGGGAGGGTGTCCTTCTGTGTATATGTTTCTCTTATCAGTCTCTTATTGGTTGATGAGCCAATGAGGCAGGAAGATAGGTGGGACTAGGACAAGGAGAATTCTGGGAAAGGTAGACAGAGAGAGACCACCAGAAAACAGTCGCCATGTACACCACAAAGAAGTAGCAGATCCAGACCCTTCTCTGGCAAGATAAGACCACATGAAAATACTTGGCTTGGTAGAAATGGGTTTATAATTAAGACAGAGCTAGCCAATAAGGAACCCTAGTCATCAGCCAACATCTAACAACATGACCTTGAACTTCTGACCCTTCTATCTCTGTCTCCTAAATGCTAGGCCTACAGGTGTGTACCCAACTTAATATTTCTTTTTTCCTTTTCTTTCTTTCTTTGTTGTTTTTTTTTTTTGTAGTGCTGGGGATAGAACCCAAGGCCTTGGCATGCTAGGCAAGCATTCCTATACCCTCTGAACATTCCTCTCTCTTCTGCCTAGACCCTATTTTGCTTCAGTCTCTGTGTAACATCCCTAGCTAATGTATATTGTGTTGATCATGTTTCCTATAAATTCAGATTCATTTCATCACACATTTGTTGAACAGAAGAAAGCAAAACAAGCAGCTTTAAGGACTGCCTGCGTGTGAATTAATTTTTTCTGCTGTTTAATTTAATGCCTTTAGACTATTGCTGCCAGAAGCACCTCCAAAGAAATTCCTGACCTTGGGCTCCAAGTTCCGTTACAGCGGGAGGACTCAGGCGCAAACGAGAAGAGCTAGCGCATTGATAGACCGCCCGGCGCCTTACTTCGAACGCTCATCCAGCAAACGTTACACCATGTCTCGCAGCTTGGATGGAGGTAGGCATTGCTAACTGGCTCTCCGTAGCTCTGCAGCAGGGCATGTGAAACGACCGTGAGCTTTATGTGAACAGGGTTATCCACGTGTACTCTGAGAAATGGTGTCATGTGGGTCTGAGCAGCTGAATGGCAGGTTTTGAACACTCTCATCTCCAAAGAACACTATCTGTGTCCAGTCTGTTTTATTGTGAGCTCGTGTTGGAGTACGTCAGAACTTGGGGAATGAGGATCTTATCTTTAACAGGTAGGTCCTCGAGGACTAACTGGAAAAGAACTATAAGTTAAAGACGTCTCTAAAAATTAGAGAGAATGAAAGTTATCAGTCAGCTTGTGAAAAGTGGGAGAGAGTATCTCAGTGGTGAATGGCCCTGTCTACTGTCTAGTCGAACACAGGCTGCCAGAGATGACCCCAGCAACTCCTGAAGGGAAGGGCATAGTGCCAAGATGTCAGTAAGAGTGGCTTTGTCTGTGGTGTGCAATGTTATCCCCTACAGCAGAAGTTATGCTTTGTCCTCCAGAGTGTACCAGCAATGGTGACACTCAAGACCTGGTTCTGGGCAGGGCTGTGGTACCTAGCTCAGCACATGGCCATGGCTTGACTGATCCATGGAAGACTGGTCCTGGATGAGTAAAGAGTTAGACGTTTCTGAAAGGTGTACACAATTTTAATAGGTAAGCCTAGATGGAAAGAGAAAAGTTAGATTGCCTAGGGCCCTCTTCACCCATCTGTAACTTTCTGCTGACCCTCGCTGGGTCTCAGCTCCCCTCAGCCCACCCCCCACATCCCCCAGTTAAGAAGCGGCCATGCTCGTACTGCGGATGCCATACCGTATATATTGCTGGTATGGAGGCAACACTCATACTAAATACATAGGAAAACACATTCATAGCCCAAGCTCCGTGGCCCTCCGTTTTAGTCATGTTTAAAAAAAAATAGACGTAAGACCACCTTCAACAGGATTGTTATGAAGAGTAAAGAGATGATGTATGGGAAAGCGTTCTCGGTGCTGATGTAATTGTCACTGTAATTATTCCGGGTAATCCTTAGAGGCTTTGTAGGCTGGCCGCATGGATGGCAAACAGCCTTCGTATTTGAAGGCTCTGACTCTACAGTCAACCAAATGCAGGCTGGGAATGTGGGTTGAAAATACGAGTGACTCCAGGGTGGGTGGAGTTGGCCCAGGACTCCAGGTTCAGCTTTGTCCCCAGCAGACAGATGATGGTAGACAGGCGTACAGAGAACTGACAGATAGATAACCACAAAAAAAAATCACATTCATACTGAATGCACAAAGACTGTTTTATCATTCTCTGAACAGTACAGTATGATAGCTAGCTACATATTATTTACAGTAGAGGTAGCTTGAACACTACAGGCAGATGCGCACAGATTGTATTTGAAAAGTGTGCCACGCTCTGTAAGGGACCAAGGAATCTGCAGATTAAATGTGCGGAGAAATGCCGGGACGACCCACGGTAGGTGCCGAGAGAGAATGCCGCCGTTCCGCGTCTTTCTGCATCCCTAGACCCAAGGCCATTTGCAGTTGGTTTAAGACGTGAGGATCTCCCTGTTAACGCCAAAGCCTTTTCTTTCTGCTCCTTAGAAACTCTCTGCTAACAATTTGTGTGTCCTCCAAGTCGATATTTGAAGAGGGCTCCATAGAATCTCATGCCTTTCTTTCCGCTGAATACCCCCTACTTTGTTCAATGGCGTGCACCCGTGGGGGGGGGATGGAGCAGGGGGGATACAGTCGTTGTCAGTGTTGTTTTCCTCGTGGTCTTTGTGTGGAAATGGCTGTTGAGGAAACAGAAGACAATTGTGAAATCAATGCACTAATACCATGCTGTCTCTTCCTTTCTTCCCAAAAACGATGTTAGTATGTGTTGTCTCGCTCTCTGTTGCCCTGCCATTCCAGTACGTTTTTCTGACGCGGAGCTGGCTGCCGTGTCTGCATGTTGGAACACTACACTGCTTTTTTGACAAGACGGCAGCCTGCATATAGCAGTATAACAGGCTGCCAAAAAAAAAAAAAAAGTATCTCATGAGCTTTTTATCACCACAAAGAGGCAGAGAATATCTTAGTGAAAGATTTCATTTGGAATCCTTTTTGTTTTGTTTTCTTTTTGTTGGTGTTTTAAAGTACCTAAAATAGTAACTCAGGTCATATCTTAGTCTACAGTCAACTGTGGGGTATTTGAAAAGACATGTTTACAAATTCCAGCGTGCTTTCATGATACCTAAGCCCTAAAAGAGTGACTAGCAAAGTTTAAAATTGATCTGGATGAAGCATCTTTCACTAAGGCAACAGCTGGGATGCAGGCTGAGCCTCACATCCCTAAGCTAATGTGGTCTGCCTCTGTGTGGGTCGAGCTGGGATGCAGGCTGAGCCTCACTTCCCTGCGCTCACATGGTCTGCCTCTGCGTGGGTCGAGCTGGGATGCAGGCTGAGCCTCACTTCCCTGCGCTCACATGGTCTGCCTCTGCGTGGGTCGAGCTGGGATGCAGGGCTGAGCCTCACTTCCCTGCGCTCACATGGTCTGCCTCTGCGTGGGTCGAGCTGGGATGCAGGCTGAGCCTCACTTCCCTGCGCTCGCATGGTCTGCCTCTGGGTGGGTCGAGCTGGGATGCAGGGCTGAGCCTCACTTCCCTGCGCTCGCATGGTCTGCCTCTGCGTGGGTTTTGCTTGCTAGCAGCGATTTGTCTTGTTTTCCCCAAATAGTAGTGATGAGAGTGAATGTGTGTACATATCCCTCGTGGCAGTCTGTTTCAAATGCAGTGGCAACTAAAACATTTCCTTACATCAGTGGAGAGGAATGTCCTTCCAAAATTTATAGTCTCTGCCAAAACTGTTAAATACTTTGTAACTATGCTTTGAGGTTTTGTGCCGTAAGAGGGACGAACCTTTCAACACTGGGAAACAGTGGAAGTAATTCCATTGCTCCTTAAGTAGACGCCACTTGCATGGGTACGTACACAGTCACGTGGTCAGAGGACCTGCTGCAAGTACTGCTGGGAATTCTTGAGCTTAATATGAATCTGGTGCGAGCATCCAGCCAATGATCTTGGGGATAAAACCATCCTCCCTTCCTTTAGCCCCTCCCCACTCTCACCAGAGATACGCGAATGCTAAGCATTATCCTAGGGTTTAAGACATGGACATGTGAATCATTTGTAAAGCGCTGGTCCGGACAGAGAGACATTGCTTGGACAAAAGTCCCCGAAGCTCTCTTGTGCCTTACGCAAAACCAGCCTGATGTTTTTATACTGGTGCTTTCCTCCTAGAAAGAAAAGGTACAGTGTGGCATTGCTGTTCTGTCTTCTGACTCGACTGTTCGGGATTTTATTTCCTCCCCCGGCTGTGTCTGCTTTTAGCGTCAGTGAATGAAAGCCATGAAATATACATGAAGGACTCTATGTCTGCTGCAGAGGTTGGCACAGGCCAGTACGCCACGACCAAGGGCATCTCTCAGACCAACTTGATCACCAGTGTGACTCCAGAGAAGAAGGCCGAAGAGGAGCCCGTTGAGGAAGAGGACAGGAGGAAGAAGGCTGAGGAAGCCACCCCTGTCGCAGCCCTCCGGCATGAGGGAAAGGTACAGCTCCCGGCTGCCTCCTAGAACTGTCCTTGCCCTGACTAAATGGCTCAGTGGTTCTGAGAAGGTAGACCAGGGGTGGAGGGGGTGTCCCGACCCCTACACTGGTCATGCTCATGTCGGGGTCTACATTATTATTATTATTATTATTATTATTATTATTATTATTATTATTAATTATTATATTCTCTTAAAGTTGTTTCCTTAACCTTTTTGGGGAAATTTTTAACAAGGAATGTGTTTTACAAGACTTTCAACAGCTGTTCTGGATGGATCTCTTAAAAAAAATACTTTCGATGGCGCGGTAATTTTTTTTTTCCTAATTGGACTCGCATTATACAATTGTCACCAAAGCTATTGTCCGTTTCTGGCCCCAGTCCCCTACCCAGTATGGTACGTTTCTCTTAGCTACTAAGGAAACACGTCTCCATTTTTTTTTCTCTGATGACATGTACGCTGAGTGTCGGTAACCTGTGTGTTTGTGTCTAGTCTCTTAGTCTTCTGACTATAATCTGCAGGAAGTGACCTGCTGCAATGAGAGAGAAAAGCGGTTTTGACATAAGAGCACTTTTCATTCGCTGCGCTTTGTGATGTCACTTCCCCAGAATTAGATTCCTCAAATTGTAAAGGGAAGCCTTTTCCTTGAGAGAAGCCTTCCCGCCAGCCTGGTTCTAGAGCCGCATCAGTCCCAAATAAACACACAGGAGGCTATATTAATTATGAAGCTGTTGGCCTTGCTTGTTTCTTACTGGCTAGCTCTGACTTAAGTAATTACCCCATAATAGTTAATCTAAGTATGTCTCTTACCAGAGAAGTTTCCGGGCTTCCTACCCCATGGCGTTACATCTCCGACTCTCTGTGTTTCTCCTTCCCAGAGTCCTCCTGGACTCCTAGTCCCACCTATCTAGATTCCTATTGGCCAGCAGTGCTTTATTGACATAATCACAGGACTTCCCGCATCATCAAGTGTTAGTTTTTAACTTTCAGATTGATTTCCAGTGATCTGATATTACAGCAACTTCCTGTAATTGTACAGGGCCCATGAGGCGGGGGGGGGGGGGGGACAGGGGGGTAGGTGGGAAATGAACCGTCTTACACCCTCCGGGTTATCCAGAAATGCAAGGGTTTGATTCCCTGGTGCTTGGTTGCATAGAAATGTTCTTGGGAAAGAAAGAAATAAACAAAAACAGTGTATGGGGCTCCTAAGCAGGTAGCTAGTTCAACGGATGAGCAATGCCGACCTTTCTGAGAATGTGACTTAGTGATAAGGGACTTGCCTAGGGTGTGTGGACACTCAGTTTAATGTCCAACACCTAAACTGAACAAATAAACACTTTCTGTCGAAGATGAAAATTCTTCAAATCGCCCAGCCTACCATTCTGCTCTTCCTTTCACAAAACAATCGGCACAGAGTCAGAAACGATGGCCAGGCCTTTGGATCACTTCTGCTGTCCAAATGTGCTGTGTTCTAAATTTGGCATTTGCATTCTCCTCATCACTTAAGCCCGTGTCAGACCTTATAACTGGGGCGTGGGGGAGAGGGATAATCCGCCTGGAATGCAAACATGGATGGTTCTTACCCCTGGTTGTTTCCGATTTTCCTGAGATTATCAGTGCCCTCACATGATTCTCATGACTGTGAAACTACACTTGAATGACAGGCAAAAAGAAAGGATTTTTATGTTTGCTCCCAAAGTAGGTCCTGGTTTTCTTCTCCTTTTGTTTTGTTTCTGAGAGGCCATCCTGTGACCTTGACAGGTAGGAAGAAGCAGCTGTCCTGGGGAAACAGAAGGACATAGAAAGCTACCTTAGTAATCTCAGTCCCCGGGAAGATGGCATTTCAGCAGAGCTCTCTGGGAGGCTGTAGCTGAGTGCTGACAGGCGCTGGCTGTCTTCGTTTCCCCACTTAGAAGCTGACTTTCCAAAAGCACTCTAATACACGGCACAGGAGATGGAACCATAATCTTATTCTTTTCCATCTTCAAAGGCTACATAGAGGCTGCTTATTTTTGAACCAAAATGAACATCCACTGCTGGGAATAACGTCTAAGAGACTGTTTGACTGTTTTCCAGGCTGCCTGGGGAGGGACGTGTTGTCGTAACTAATAACCAGGGCAGTGTCTCACTGCCTAGGGAGGGAGAGCGGCCTTCAGGGAGGGAGAGCAGCCTTCATGGAAGAGCCGCTTGTAACATCTGCATTGTTCTTTAGCTGAGTGAGGTTTATACAGATCGCTGTTTAGGATGCAGTGTTTAATGTCGAGTATGAGTATCCGAGAATCATTCCAAAGGCTGACATATCCCGATAAACTTGTGTCTGGGCATTGTCTCCATCCATTTCCCCATACCTCAGATGTGATTTTATTTGTGCATTTTCTTCCACTTTGTTGCTATATTTATCACTTCTCTCTAAGTCAGGATTGGATAACCTCCACCAAGCAGTGTGAGTAATTTTCATGCTCTCAAGCTGCTAGGTAACACACACACATGCACACACTCACATACACACACACTAACATACACACACTCATACCACACACACAGGCATGCACACTGACACACACAGACACACACACAGGCACACACTCACACACACTCACATATACTCACATATACACACACTCATACACACACTCACTGACACACACTCACATACACACTCACACATACACTTACACTCACATACACTTGCTCACATACACACTCACACTGATACTCACAGACACACACACACACACACACACACGGCAAGGGGAGCAGCTGAAGAAGGCTGTGTCAAGCTCCACGTGCCATGGCCTTGAAGTCGCTGTGGTATAGGAGCCCCTGTGCTTTGCCCCAGCCTGCTTAGTGGCTTTGGCCACGGAAACCGCCGGGGTCCCAGAAAGCGGCATCCATTCTCCAACCTCATAAAAGCAGGAGCTCATAGGAGCACTTTGGCGGGAATGCACGTGTGCATGCTGTCAGTTGTGTGAAGGATTCAGACCTCAGTAGTAAGCATATATCTAGAGAAATCGGTAGGCTAGGCTGAGAAATTGCATCTTTCCGTTAAATGCAGACCATATGTAGCAGAAAACGAACACACAGAAACCATGTTCCAAGAATTTTTTTGTTTCTGGTTCACTTACTTAAGTCACTCACTGGTGAGAGCCCAAGTCCTGTTTAGCCACCTAGATAAACAAACCAAACTGGATGACTCGGAGGAGCCTCCATTCTCTACCATGCTCACTGCTGCTGGCCCCCAATGTCATCTGTAACTTATCACACGTATCAGACAGGAGTGGGGGCAGAAACTTCCCCGTTGGGAAAACCGTCCGTTTGTTTGGGGTCTAATTGGCTAACCGAGGAAAGGAAGGTGGCTGCAAATTATTTTTAACCCAACCAGACTTAGAATCGCATTCCGTTTTATTTTGAGCCCCGCCGAGCCGTGGGGGCTGGTCTGTTACCTGGAGATCAGGAGGACGGACAGATGCTGTTGAAAGTCTTGGTTTCCATTCCTTAGAGTTGTGCGCCCTTGGGCGGGGTTTATGAGTGACCTCTGCTCTGACTTTTGTCACCTTGGCCTGTGTGTGATGGCCTGCCGGGAGAGCCCTAGTCCTCCTGGGTGTGGCCGCCCGCCGCCGAGCAGCGGTGATGGCTTTTAAGACTCTCGTTTTTAAGGTTTTTTTTAATGCTGATGCCCGTGAGAAGGTTGACTAATCGCACTTTTCTTTTTGTCCTTTCGCATCCATGTTTGCTGCTTCCCGTCTTTTCTCTGTCTCCTTCACGCATCGTCAGTCACCCAGGCATGGCGCTGCTGCCTCCCGCCCCTTGCCACCCCCACCGGCCCCTCTTGACCCTGCACCCCCCACAGAGCTCCGCAGGAGGTGCAAGGAGAATGAAAGCCCCTTTATGGGTTCTGTGCCGCCTAAAGCTGAACCAGCCTCGGAGTCGGAGTCGGATGGCCAGGGGAAGGCTTGCCTAGGGGACCAGGACGTGGCCTTCAGTTGCAGGCAGCAGACTGGCAAAGGAGCCACGCTGTTTTCCTTCTCCTTGCAGCTCCCCGAGTCATTCCCCTCGCTCCTGGATGAGGACGGGTACCTCTCCTTCCCCAACCTGTCTGAAACCAACCTCCTACCCCAGAGCTGGCAGCGGTTCCTGCCCATCCGCTCACCCTCCCTGCTGCCCTGCTTCCTCTTCCTCTTCTTCTTCCTGCTGTCTGCCTCCTTCTCCGTGCCATACGCCCTCACTCTCTCCTTCCCTCTGGCTCTGTGCCTCTGCTACCTGGAGCCCAAGGCGGCCTCCTTGAGCGCCTCCCTAGACAATGACCCGAGTGACAGTTCAGAGGAAGAGGTGTGTACCTCAGCGTAGAGCACACTTTCCCCTGCTGCGTGTTCTGTGCTTCAGTCCGAGCCGGTGTTACAGCTGGCTGCCGCCATGGAGGTTCCTGCTTTCAGGGCCTCGTTTACTGTCTGTGCCGCCACTATGTGGAGGGTTTTTTGTGTTGGGGGAGTCCAAGCCAGGCCCCAGGGTTAGGCACAACACTGTGGGCGTGGCAGCCTATAGCAGACCCCAGTCATTCTGCTGGCCACTGAATTCTGGCATGGGATAACCAGGCCTTCTGCCAGAACTCAGTCTCAGATGTCTCGTCCACCATGGAAAGGCCATGCCTTTGTCATGGATTCTGTTCAGTTGCCGTTCTAGCGGATTAAATCTCATGTAAATACAAGTAGATAGCTTGTGACGTAAAAATAAGATGCTAGCACCGATGGAGTGACCTAGTGGTCGTGCTAAAGGTTGAATAGCATCGTGTTCGAGTAGCTTTCCCAGATCGCCCCTGTTTCTACACACACACACACACACAAACACGCCAAGGACCCAAAATGCTTCCAGGGCCCTGTTAGATATAACTCCTCATTGTCGACAGAAGGAGTGCCTACCACAGCTTGTAGTACCCGCATGACGTCACTCATTGGTATAGCCAGAAGAAGGACCAGAAAGAGTCCCATGAACTACATATGTAGTGCTGTGGTGTCCAGAAAAGGTCAGGACAACATCTATTTGAGGGTTCGCCGCCCCCTCTTATGCTAGCCATACTTGTGTTTGTATCAGACAGCAGTATCAGACCCAAATGCCTGTCCACATTTTGTAGTGTGGTACAGCCAGGTGTCTCTGGCGCTTAGAACAGGTATCCTTATAGAGGGAGAGAAACCTGAGTGTTCAGCCTGCCCATCTCCCTCATGCCAGCCAGCCACTAACTAGGTGAGTTGGTGTTAACTAGCAGCTTTTCCTTCTTAATTGCTCTCCTTCCTGGCGGCTCCACGGCCATGGGAACAGCACAGTAGCTTCCCTTTTTAAGGACTTCAGCCAGAGCCCAGGGAAAAGAATAGAAGCTGACACTCCCCCCCCGTGGCTCCTGGACAGCATGTCCTCACCCTCTGGCACCTCTCCCTGGGAGTCCCAAACTTGCCTCTTCCTGCAAAGCAAGCACTTTATGTGACAGGAGACAAGCCCAGGACTCCTTGCCTTAGAAAAAAACACAGTCAAGGCAACACTTAAAAAAAAAGACCAGACAAGAAAAGTCTATTCACTTCCGGCTCAGGTAGAAAGTCATAAATTTGACCTGCCCCTGTTAGTGTGTGAGGCTGCTGACAAGTGCTGGGACCTATAATTAGTGGTGTTATGCCTGTTTCTGAGCAGCAATGGGGGTGGGTATGGGGAGCATGAATGACCTCAAAAGTGCCTTACGGAGGAGTCTAGGGTTTTTCAATTCAGTACCTGCCTAAGAGCCCTTTGGAGTTCTTGGCATGTGTGCATAAAGAGACAGCAGTGTCTCTGCCACAGCAGACTTTGGGGGGAGGGACCCACTTTAAATCTCAGGCTTTTAACACAAGTTTCTCAGAGTGACGACATCATCGGAGGGAGTTAGGAGTAGAGCCTGCTGCAGTTGGGGCCATTGGTAGCTTCCTAAAGAAACTTCTGCTATTAGCGGAGGAGTAAGTCCCAATGCTCACATGAATCCCCATTCCCACACACCGGGAAAAAACAAAAACAAAACAAAAACAAAAACAGGGACTCCTGCTTTATGCTTCTCTAAATTCTGAATTGCCGTTTTTTTGCGGTGCCTCCGGCGCCAACCACACAGATCTTGTGCCTAATCCAGGGTTTCCATCTCGTTGGAGTCGGTGCATGGGAACTAGCATTACACTTGGTCATGTCTGCATTACATCAGCAAAGCAAATCACAGCAGCCCCCACCCCACCCCGTGTTAAGCTTCCCCTGTCTCACTGCCCTAAGCATCACAGACTCGGACACCCAGTCAGCGCTGACCGCTGCAGTCACCCCTCTCCTCCAGCCTCCTCTAGCCCATTATAGCAGCGCTCCTGCGGCCAGGCTGCGGATTTTGCCATCTCTGTTCGGTGCTGACTCTTAACCCCAGGTGTTAAAAGCCACACGCTCCACTGCAGCTTAGGCTAAAGAACTCATATTTGGGCCATCGCATTCTGTAGGCCTCAGGCTGGTCGACGGGGCGAGTTGTTAAAATGCAGTTCATCTCTGCCCACTTTCATTTTGCAGAATCACCGATGACGGTGACCTGTTTGGCTTTCACCTTGTGTTGTAGAGAACCAGTTACTGCCTCTCTCAAAAATCGAAACCCAGCACACACAGACACTTAATCACTTCAAGCGATAAAGCAGTTGGCCTGGCTGTGTTTCTCCTATGAGCTTTCAGAACGACCAGACAAGAGGCAGACTATCACATCACCTTCGACGAAACACTAAGATGAATTCAGCCTACCATAACACAGGATGCAATTGCATATGAATTCCTGGGTAATTTATTCAAAAGTGTAAGAAAAGTGAATCCACCAACTGATTTGTCTTCACATTGTGTAAAGATAGTGTTATACAATAACTCGGGACATGCTGTCCTTTTTGTGGTTCTGTGTAGTTTTTGTAGTCCAGGTGCATATTACAGATTACTGGTAATATACAGTATAAACAACAGCTGCCAGCAAAACTGCTTTATTCAATTACTATTTTTTTTGTTGATAGATTAGGCTGTAAATCAGGAATTGCAAGGAATCAACAGATGAGTTTTTACACAGTATCTGGTCACATTGACCAGTTGGATCCTTTTTTGAGTCCTCATGCCTCATTGCAGGCAGGTGCCCCGCACCCAGGTTCTGAGGGAGTTTAGATACGACCATCAATGGACACCTAGGAACATCAGAGTAATAGCTAACAGTGTGTCACATTTCAGCTATCGTTGGCGGCTTGTAGTTCTGTGTGGCAGAATTCCATACAGAATTCCATGTAGACACAGCTGTTATCTCCATTTTCCAGAAGAAAATGGGTTTAACTACGAAATGCGTGCAACGTAGTACTGGTTTGAAAAGCAGTGATTTGAGCGAGTTTAATCTTACCTGCAGCTGAGCTCTAATGCCAAGATGTCAGAAAGCTCATGAAGTCAACTTTAGAATTGTAAAGAGACTTCTTAAAGTAGGAAGAGAATTTCCCCAACCACGTTAGATGTGTTTGACACAACCAACTAAGATATCAAACATGGAGGCTGGAGAGATGGCTCAGTGGTTAAGAGCCCTGACTGCCCTTTCCAGAGGACCCGAGTTCAATTCCCAGCACACACACGACTGCTCACAACCATCTATAATTCCACTTCCAGGGGATCTGACACTTTCACACCAATGCACGTAAAATGAAGTTAAATAAATCATTAAAAAGAAGGATACCAAACCTTCTTATTTTCTTGAAGTCCTAAAGCATATTAAATGTATTCTGTCTTTTGTACCAATCCAAATCATCCTTCCCCTGGATGTCAGTTGTTGAGGCCCTGAGATTATGACAGCCATGCCTTACTCCTAAGAGAATTAGTTAGATGCCCTTGCCCCACTTTTTAAACTGAGGCGATCAGGTCGTGGAAAGAAATCTATTGAATTTATTTCCCCTCCATTCTCAGGCACGCCTGCCAAGTGTGCAATACAACTGCTTTTTTTTAAGGAATATATAGAAACAGTTTGGTTTAGTCCTGGCCAGGGATAGATCAAGAGAGAGAGGAGCACCAGTCCTGGCCGCCATTGTGAGCATCCCACGATCCTCATTGTGGCACGTAGAGCCAACAACTCTGCAGCAAGTTCAGACGCTTGCTTTCAAAGTATTACTCGCAAGGCTTTGGCTGAGGGAAATGTGCCCGTAACTGATTGACATTTATGGATGAAAAGCCAGTTTGTATCGGTGGCCCATCATCAACACGTAGTTTTTGTCTTAGGCAGTAAACCCCTCTAAACACTTTAAAACATGTAGGCATTAAACGCGAACCCTGAAATGGGCTCTTCTCATCCCCACCCACTCACCTACCCCACCCCGGAAAAGAAATCCTAGTTCTGTCGAATGCTGTGCTTTGTTTGATCCGTCTCTCAGTAGATGTCTCTTTCTCTCTCCGTTTTTTTTTCAGTTATTATTATTATTATTCCTGTCATCCGCACCATTTGAATGCTACTTTTGCAATGAGATGTCTAAATGCATCCCTGACTATACCTCTTTTATGTTGGAGAGTGGGGCAAAGTGAACAACAGAGCTGTTACCCATTAGCAATGCTATTTGGAAATCACGGTGCTTTCTTTTTCTTCTTCTTCTTCTTCTCCTGTATAAAAGAGATGCCTGTGAATCATTAACTGGTAATGCAGACAAGCCTGGTGGTCATAGTGGGCGGAAATGCCCCCACCGGTATAAATGAGGGGCTGAAAGTCCAGCGACTGTTAACAGTAGATATTTAGCATGCATCTAAACCCACTCCCTTCCTTTCCAAATGTGGCATTGCTGGAATAAAATACGTATAAGCGAACCTCCGTTTGGTTTCTGTTAAGTGTTTTTGGGAGAGCCTTTAGGGTCATCGGTGGAAGAGGGGAGGTGGGGTGACACAAACTGAGGTCCTAAACTGTAAACGCAGACAGGTCAGGGCAGCCCACCGCGTGTGCGCCTCGGGTCTTGACCTGGGAGGGGCTCTGCCGAAGACCCCCAAGCTCTGCCGCCTCTTTGCTTCGCTCAGACCCATACTCCCGTGGGAAGGCAGGGGGCCGCAGACCCCAGAGAAAGAACGCGAATGGTTCCGGCCAGTGGGCGCCTTGTTTGACCAGACCGGGTTTTGTTTTCTATCCCTGCTCCCTCCCCGGATCCGATCGCCCCCGTGGCCCTGCAGACTGACAGCGAACGGACAGACACCGCAGCTGATGGGGAAACCAGTGCCACTGAGGTGAGGATGGAGACACGTTATTTTCTGGCGGGACCTTGTAAGAGTGCTTCCCTTTGGGAATGCTGCAGCGTACACACCGTGACATCTGGCAGTAGAAGACAATAGCGCGTGGCACCATTTCCCAAGTTCTCTTCTTCGGTAGCCGTAGCTAAGTGGAGGGGCTAATCGCTTCCTTTGCCTTGAATTGTAAGAGATAGTTATAAGTAGCCACAGGCCGGTACATTCAGTAGATGGCACGCGGCTGTAAGTAGTCACAGCCCGGCACAGATGTAAAAGTCGGCCTGTCGCCAATGCTGGCTTGGCGTGAACACACCCCTTCCCTTCATGTCACTAGTTTTACTGCACCATGGGGATTTGCAGAGAAAGCACCTTGGTCCCCTTGGTCCCCATACACTGATAGGAAATCTGAGACCAGCTAAGACATGTCTGTCCATACCTGTAGTCCCAACAATTGAAAACTGAGACATTATATATATATATGCATATGTATATGCGTATATGTGTGTGTATTCATATATGAGTATGTATGTATATGTATATATATGAGTGTGTGCGTATGTGTGTATGTGTATATATATGAGTGTGTGTATGTATATGTATATACATGAGTATGTGTATGTATATGTATGTGTGTATATATGAGTGTGTATGTATACATATGTATATATGTACATATATGAGTGTATATGTATATGTATATATGAGTGTGTGTGTATGTATATATATGAGTGTGCATATGTATATGTACGTACATACATGAGTGTGTGTATGTATATGTATATATGTACATATATGAGTGTGTATGTATATGTATATATGTATACATATGAGTGTGTGTGAGTGTGTGTGTGTGTGTGACTTGCCTAGGCAATAGAGCAAGACTGTCTCAACAAAACCAAACCACAACAGACATAAGATGCTGGGCTCCAGGTAGACCAGATGCTTTGCTTAGCTTGATGCCTTTCTTGAGCATGACCTCATTCTCACCTCTAGTTTGACTCTGGGTCTCACAAGGACCGGGAAGCCCAGGCTCCCCTCAGAGAGAAACTCTTTACCATGCTGGCCCATGGGCCGTGGCCCACTTGCCCTTACTGGTGCTTGATGTTAGGCCAAGAATAAGGCTGGGCCGTTATAAAGCTGGAAAAGGAAGGACAATGAATGGTCTGTGAGATATCCTTGATGGGAATCTTTTTAATTCAAAAAGTTGCCTTGTTTAATTGTAAAAAGAGATAACAGTAGTGTTGTCGACGGTGGTAACTTATCCTGTATCTCAGTCTTCCCTCTACAACTTGTTCTAAGTGCAAAAGTTCGGCTGGGTGTGATGGTTCATACCTGTAATCCCAGGACTGTGTAGGCTGAAGTGGGCGCCCTCCTCTCACCAACCGAGTGGGGCCTGGAGAGAGGACTCAGTGGCTGCTCTCCCCCTCCCGGGGCAGCTCGTGACGCCTGAGATTATAGTTCCAGAGGATCCAAGCCCCCTCCTGGCCTCTGCAGGTGGCAGCCAGGCACACAAGTAGGACACAGACCCAACATGCAGGCAGAGCAGTCATACACAAAAATAAAAATAAATAACGATAATCAAAGACAAAGTGTGTGAGCGCAAGGCATTCGAGGCGCCACTCGGGTTTTAAATGCAGGAGGCTACATATGAAGCTCTTCGAGCTGCAGTTTTGTGGTCTACAAACTGGAAGTTGCGAGGGCCGAGATATGGTCACTGTGAGGTCTTGCCTATTGAGGGGCTGTCATTTTCCCATAATGATAGCCATTCTGGGAGAACTGTGAACTGAGTCCCCAGATTCAAGACTCCCAAACCTTCGCTAACGTTCTGTAAGGACAGCTTCCCAGTCCCTGCTGCCCCTTCTCAGAGCTCACGCATTTATCCGCCTCTCGGAATGCCAGAGAACCGCTGAGCATAAGACTCTGTGGCCACTTTGTTCTCATGATGATGTCCCGTCTTTTGTGTGTGTGTGTGTGTGTGTGTGTGGGAGAGAGAGAGAGAGACAGAGACAGAGACAGAGACAGAGAGAGAGAGGCAGAGAGAGAGAGAGAGAGAGAGACAGAGACCATCTTTTGTGTGTGTGTGTGTGTGTGAGAGAGAGAGAGAGAGAGAGAGAGCCATACTTTGTGTCTAACAAAGCACCGCGTCTGAGTGTGCGAGGGCCGTTAACCCTCACGGCCAGTGAGTGTGCAGCAGTGCTCACACCCAGCAAGCGTGCATAGACCACAGGTCTCCCGCCGTAGAGTAAATTGCTTGGTAAGTCTTCCTCTCCCACTCTTTCCTGACGCTGCCAGTCGGACCAGGAGGAAGACGCAGAGCTCAAGGCACAGGTAGGAGAGTTAGAGATATCCCCCCCGCAGAGGCCAGTGTGTGACACGTCATTGTCTGCGTTGCCATGTTCAGACCACCGGCGTCGACCCCCCCTCCCGCCCCCCCCCCCCCGCATGTTCCCTCCCCGGTTACCGAGCCGACGGCGTGTGGAGTGGCGTCTCATCCCCTGACGACTACTGTGTCCTTACCTGTCCCTCTCTTCTCCACTTTTTTCAGAATAGTCTGGTTAAGCGCATAAAGGGTGAAAATGTGTATGTCAGACATAGTAACCTTATGTTAGAGGTTGGTATTGGTATGCACCACGGTATGCTTGCTTGTGTCGTTCACCCTCCCGTGGCGTAACCCCGTGGGCTTGAGCCATCATGCATGAACTGTGTGCTCAACCGTTAGTGACGGGGGTGGGGATGACTCCTCGACGTAAATCTGAGTCCTTGTTCTCTCCCAGACACAGAGCCCCCTCTTCCTGTGTGTGTGGTGGTTTGGGTCCTCTGGTCACATGTAAATGTCACTCCTTAGAATCTGCCTTTGACTTTATTTTTTTTTTAATTTGTATGCTGTGCAAAACTAAATCATTTTTTCTTTCCCTTCTCCTGGAAATCCGACATTTTTCACTAGAGTGTTTGTGGTAGTGTCTTGAACCCTGATGCGAATTCTGTTTCCTTTTGACTACTAATGTGTTTGATATATATTTTTTAAATAAAAAGAGGGGTGGCCGGGTATAGGAAATCACTGTGAAAGACTGACTGTCGGAATCTTCTCCCCCTGCCCCGTAGGAGCTAGATAAAACTCAGGACGAACTGATGAAACACCAGACCAACATCAGCGAGCTGAAAAGAACCTTCTTGGAAACCTCTACGGAAACCGCCTTAACAAACGAGTGGGAAAAGAGACTTTCCACGTCCCCCGTGCGACTGGCTGTCAGGCAGGAGGATGCGCCCATGATTGAGCCCCTTGTGCCTGAGGAGGTCAGTGTTTGCTCGGTGGGCATGTCCCTTCCCCGCACAGGGTCTGGCACTGGGAAGTGGGGGCATGGTCAGGCCTGGGATGAGGTTGTTCATTGCTCCCAAGATCCAATGGAGCAGGTGGATGGAGGACGGGGTCTTAGCATCAGATGGCGCTAAGAACGACCACGGCCAGGCAGGAACAGGGAGACTCCAGCGCACCTTGACCCGAGTCTTACCTTTAATGTCAGGTTTATACCTGGGAGATGCTGATGATCTCATAGTGGGTCGGTGCTGCCTGTAAACACACTTTCTTCTCCTGCATTGAGAAACGCCCTTTAAAAACTTCATTAGTGATTGGAAAATGAGGCCTGATAAGATCGTCCACTGTTTAAATGGCGGCGGGGGGGGGTCAGAAGTTAATGACATTTCAGGGACAGATAAATATTGGGGCATATAATACTGGGTTTTTGTTTCATTTAAGGGATTTTTTAAAAAACTTATTATGCCTGGTTATTTTTAACTAATCCTAAGTTAAGTGTTGCTTGTTTGTTTTTAAATGGGGAAAAGCAGGTGACAGGCATCCCTTTTAAAGTAAGGCGTTTGCGTCTAAGACTTTGGGCGGCAGTGAGGGCTGAGCTCTGTCACTCTGGAGCTCCCATTCTGTGAGTGCCGTGGCCGTTTGATCACCTGCCAGAGAGCACCCTGCTCTCTCTCTCCTTGGGAAACTGCATCTTTCAGGCGCCGTATTGATTAGCTTCCTTATCAAGAGCCTTCTTATTGTGAGATATTTGCCCAAGAAGCCATGAGAGAAGAGAACATCAAAACTCCAACTGTTGTGCGAGACAAAGCCTTTAGACGGTAGCACATACTTACAATACCGAAGTCCTTGCAGAGAAAATAAGAGTCAAATTGCACCCATTGTTCACCATCCGTGGAAGGCTGTTTACCAAAAGTGCCTGCCTGCGGCTCATCATCACTACATTTGGGGCCACCCAATCCCAGCTGGAAAGGGAAGATTTGGATACCCCGTCTGAGTTACTTCGGAAAACGTTCTTTTTCAGGCGGAATGAATAAAAAGTATTGTTGTTACCCAAGCCTCCCTCCCTGCACCTTTAAACACCAGCTCCGCTCAAACTGCTTAAGTACCAGGAGGCAAAATTCAACATTCAGTGCGATTGAGTCATTACAGCCTTCGCGTTGCTAAGAATGGCCCCGGTAGACTAAGGAAAGGGCTCAGCGAAGAAAGCATTTGCTGTGGGATCACAAGGAGAAGAGTTTAATGACTCCCCAGCAGCCAGATGTGGTGCTGTGGCTCGGCTGCCGTAAGAGGCAGAGGCAAGGGAATCATCTGAGTTGGCACAGGCCGCAGCGCATGACAAGAAACCCTGCCTCGTACATGGTAGAAAACAAGAACTAAAACCCCAGGTTGTCCTCTGACCTCCATGTACACACTGTGTAGCACATGTATGCCCTCACTCACACATAAACACACATGTGCATGTACACACACACACACATTTTTAATGTCACTAATCTGTTATGATGTCATAAATTTTATTGTAATTTTCAAATCTGGATTAGTTTACCTCTTTCTTTTCCCCCCTGAGGCAGGGTTTCTCTGTGTGGCTTTGGAGGCTGTCCTGGAAATCGCTCTTGTAGACAGGCTTCAATCTTAAACTCACAGAGATCCGCCTGCCTCTGCCTCCCGCGTGGTGGGATTAAAGGCGTGCGCCACCACCACCCGGCTATTCTACTTCTATCGTCTCTTTTGGAAACAAAGTTTTTGTGGCTTTAAAGATGTCAGATACTGGCTTAAGTTATGAAGACGCAAAACAAAGTTTAAAAAGAAAAAGAGAGAGAGAGAGAGCCCCAGCACCTGCTTCCATACTGATTGAACTGAAGGAAATGGTACATGATAGCCTTTCTGAAAGAGAATTTGGGCAATAAGACGTGTTCATAAGCGTGAAGAACTTAAATGTCAAGGCCATAAGACTGATAAGACATTTTACTCCTGAATCTTAGAGAACGGTGTTGAATCAGTGATTGGAGGAGGTGGTACTTTGCCTGGCCTGAAGGTTCCCTGGACGGCCGTGCCTTCTCTGCATCAGTGCAAACAATGGAGACAGCCAAGAAAGGCCCCTTCCAGCGTAGCCAGACAGAAACCCTCCCCTGTAGTTAAAGGGCAATGCCACATAGGTCCACAGACTGGGGAAGTGCAGAGCTGGCTGCCCACATGTCTCTGCGGGAGCTCCATGAATCCATCCGCACTGTCATATACACAGGAAATCTCAGGAGGCCCTTGTCTGGGTAGAACGAACTGGAGAATGGTGAATGCTGGGCAGCAGGGGAGTCCCAGGAAAGCTAGGTAACTCGAGTCCTGGAAGATGAGAACTGTTTCCACGTGGTCCAAGCCCTGTGCTTCACTAGACAGCTGGGATAGGCAGCGTGACCTCTACATTCCCATGTGTTCTTTAGAGCGAGACAGTTGTCAGTGACATCCAAGTTTATAGTCCAGCTGGGAGCCCTATAGATAGCCATAGGAGTGAAGAAAACATTCTCATTGTCTAAGTCAACCCCGTCTCTATATTTAGACCCTGGCTCTTCTTTCTGGCTTTATGAGGAGCAGACGATCTCTTTTGCCTCCAGCTAGGAATGTACAAAGCATATTGGTTTACTGACTCATAAGCAATCGGTTTTATTTTGAATGGGAGACATTTTTCAGTTGCTTGGTATCACTCTGTTATTTGATATGACCACTTTAATTGTCCAGTGTAAAAAGAATCCCAGTTGTGTCTACATAGAAATATTTAACTCATTTTTTATTTCTATCACAAATAAAATAATACTATTTTGTGCCCAAATTAGAAAGATACTCAGATTCCTCAGTTATATGACCCCAACTTAGTTGGTTTCTGGGATCTTTTTTAGATGAATTTCAGTGAGAAAATGATATCTTGAAAAAATCTAATGACTTCAGATTTTTAACTTTATCATCTTTTTACCTATAGTGATTGAATACTAATTGTTACTTCTGTAAAATGCTACTACCATTAATGAACAATTAGAAAATACTAAAGTTAAAAAATGTGCAGTGAATTAATAATGATTATATTCTGAGAACTTGATGTATTCACTACATATAAAGTCAGACTTTGTTTGCCAGTGATTTCAGGTTTCCAATGTTTGAATAAATAGCAAACACAGGCATCCTCAAATCAGTGGATAAAGTCAAGTCTTTGTTAACATTGACAAACAGATCAGTTCACGTGAAAGACACATGTTCTCTGTGACACTGAGCACAAATGGTTCCGAAAATGGCCTTGCATATGGCACATTTAGAGTCGTGTTCTCTAGTGGTTACTTGGATACCAAAATTGTCCAAATCCCAGCCAAAAAGCAATATTAATGCCTGTGTGGTAACAATGTTGTCCTGTGTTGCATGTGAGCAGTAAATTCACAGGTATATTCACTGTATAATATAGTGAGCCTAATAGGTATAGTATGTACCTAATAAGAGTAGCTTTGAGATAGACACTAGCCACAGTTTATTCCCATTGTTTATAGCTTTTTATATTTGCATTTAATCTACCTATTCTCTACCAATTATTGTTAGAAGACCTTAAATAATCCAAGAGAGAATGAGTGCTATGAATTTTGTAACCCTGAATAGGACTTCGCATCTCAAATATATTGCAAAGTAATGTTTAATGGCTAACTAGAATGGCTGGCATATACACTTGACTGTATTCTTAACTGATAATAGAGGCACAGTATAGAGGCTTCAATTTATCAGTAGCTTATCACTCCCTTAGTAGAAGCAAGGTTGGATTGAAAGGTGGATGATGAATAAGGTTTAATTTTTATACCTATCCATCTATGTTAGATGTTTCTGTTGTTGGCACACAGTTCAAAATGTGACCTGTTGATAGTTCCAGCAGCAGGCACCTGTTTCAAAAATTAGAGTTTTTTAAGCCAGGAGACATCCTGAAAACCACTGTTTCAGTGCCTGGCTTTTCCCCTGGCTTTTATCTTTGGGATAGCGTTTATCTCGATGATTATAATTAGAGGTCTAACACCATTGCGCTGGAAGAGCACCTATAATTTTGAACTTCTCTTCCTTGTTCCTCGCTTCTGTGGTTGTTACTGAAAGTGTTTATTTTCAACCTAAATTTAATAATTGTTTGGGTTTTTTGTTGTTGTTGTAAATTTTACCTTTTGCAATGTCCTTCTCCAGGATAGGAATCATTTCTCTCCTACAAAAGTGGGTTACTTACCTCTCGTTAGAGAAAATCATCTGGGAATAGTATTGTCGTGTTTTACAGTAGGTTCCACAAAAGGCATTCCAGATGTTCCCCTACAACCAACTCAATGCAATTCTTACTAAATGACTAGTGGATGGATAGTCGCTTCCTTAGTGGAGGCACTGGTTAGGTTGGGAGGTAAACCATGTATAGAATTTAATTCTAAGCCTATCCCACTAGGTTACTACTTCTGTTACTGACGCATGATTCTGAACGTGGCCTAAACTCTTAAGGAGTTGTCATAGAAGTGTCATGTTTGCAATAATACGATTTGCTTAAAGAATTCTATTCTCCCACAAACGTTGGATTTGGCTCCGTCACTTTTAGATTAATTTCAGAACTATTCTTCCTATCCCTACTGTGTGGGCTTGTACACTCTGCAGAGACAGGCGTGGTAGCAGCGGGATTGCCTTTTGAATGAAGTCCATTTAACACTAAAGGAAGTGACAGAGGGACCCTTTAAAACTCAAGCGCTGGTTCCTACGTCAGAGAATGAAATCAACGTTTCTCGGTTCTGTACATTAAAGAAAAGTATGGTTTTGACCTATCCTTTCCACTCAGATCATCTGACATTAACTGTAAAATACTATTCGCCATATTATAAAAGTTCAAATAAGCCGGGCGGTGGTGGCGCACGCCTTTAATCCCAGCACTCGGGAGGCAGAGGCAGGCGGATCTCTGTGAGTTCGAGGCCAGGCTGGACCGATAGCCTCCAAAACAATACAGAGAAACCCTGTCTCGTAAAACAAAACAAAAACAAACAAACAAACAAACAAAAAAGTTCAAATAAAATTTGACTTTTGCTTCTAGGCCAACAAAGGTATCTATTCAGAAATGGCCAGGTTTATTCAAGTGAATGGCATCTCAGTTTGCTTTCTGTACTGTAGTTAAAAAACAAAAACAAAACACTCTGACCAAAAGCATCTCAGAGAAGCAAAGGGTTCATTTGGCTTAAAGTTCCAGTTCCCAGTCCATCCTTGAAGGAAGTCAGGGCAGGAAGGCAAACAGGAGCTTGAAGTAGGCTCCACAGACAGTGTTGCCCGCTGACTCACTGGCAGGCTTATGCTTAGCCAACTTTCTTACAGCCCCCCAGCACCATCTGCCTAGGGAGTGGCACCGCGCACACAATTAACAATCAAGGCAGCCCCCTCCCCCATACAGAGCTGCAGAGGAGCCAGTCTGGTCTGGGGAATTCACCCACCGAACTTTTCCCTTCTCAAATGACTCCAGCTGTATCACGTTGACCGTTAAAGCTAACCAGGACGGATGGCTAATGCTCCAACCACGTGTAGACTCCCTTCACTACCAAAGAGGATACGGTGGGATGCCTGTAAGAAACAGAAGTGGGCGTTTCTTCCGTTTACTTTTAAAGCTGTTTTATTCACATTTTCTTTTAGTACTTACGCCATTAGGGCCATGAGAGACGCCCAGTGAAATGCCAAGAAGCCCCTCTTATCACTCTTGTGTGCTTTGCATTTGTGGAAACGTAAAATGTCTTGAGTTGTGTGAGCATCTATTTCAGGAGATAACGTTGCCCATTTAGAGATGACTGTTAAAACTTGAAATGGCTCTAGATCACCTTTCAAGTGAGTAATTCCTCCAGGCAAACTGTGAATGGCTGTGAATACATATATGATACAGTGCTGGCTTCCTAACTCATCTTTCTGGGAAAAAAAAATGTCTGCCCCCTCTTCTCCAACCCCCTTTGTTCAAACAGACCAAAGAAGAGAGAGAGATTTCTGAGAGAGTTGTATTTTTTCAGCAAGGAAGCTCACCATTCCTTGAGTCTCAGGTAAAAAAGCAAATGTGGGGTCATTCTTCACGCTTCAGCGTCAAGGGAGAGTCTGGATTTACCTCTTCAGTTTTTCTTGTTTAAAGCTAGGGTGGGTGTGTTAATTTGCTTAGATTTGGGAAAGGGGGATTTTTTTTTCTCTTCTCAGTATGCTAGTGGTTAAGAACATAATGCCTGTGGCTTCTACGTGATAAAAATTACCATTGAAGCTTTGGGCCTAAATCTCCCGAAACTCCCCACTGTCAGTTTCCATCTATAAGACCTCTACTATCTTTAACGACTTTGATTTCTGAATGCTCTGAACTTACTTTGGTTTTCTTGCTAGCCAAGTGTGGTTAAGAAAATACGAGAAGGCGTCTCTGCTGATTCTGTGACTACTTCTCATCAAGTAATTTTCCAGAAAACTGTCCCGTCGACCCTAGAGGTTATTTTTCTTTTTCAATTCGTATCTTTTAGTGCAATGCCAGCATGTAGATCAACCTGCGGTTATTTTGCTTAGCACAAGCGTAGATCTAGATTCGAGTTCTCACGATACTGTAAGTGGAAAACAACACCCTAGTTTAAGATGTGAAACCGAATGCCCACCTACCCTGGTTTGGTCTCCCTTCCTTCTGTAACCTGGTAGCCCAGGACATCCGTTAACTCTCCCGTAGGCCAGGGTTTCTTACTTTTCTTCTGCCTTGTTGGAGCTAATGCTAAAGAAAAGCCTGAGAGATCAAACTGCAGTTCTGGTTAACAGCGGAGCACAACACTCCGCAGACCTCCAAGTCTTATTTTAAAGGGATCCAAATCAGTAGTGTCTCATCAGGGGAAACTCCATCACAGTACCATGAATACAGGTGCACTCAGTGTGCATTGATACCATGCATAGTCATGAATTGGCTTCCCTAGATAAGGAAATAAGTGTGCACACGTGGAAAATGGCATTTACAGAGACTCGGAGAACGCCTTCAAACTTCCTTGTGAAAATACCAGTAATGTGAAGCAGTGTGTAACAGCAAACAAGGAAAACTGTCTTTTGTGCCTGCACGTGTGAACCTTCGTAGTTCAGTGATAACACCCAGCCTTGAGATAAGAATGCAGCCAAGCTGCCGATCACAAGCGGTCAAGTAGGTTCCCCATAAAATTCATCGCCAAGGTGTGTTCCTAGTTAAAGAAGCATGAGATTGCAATGCCACCACCACCACCCCACACACAGAAAGTTTTCTGGGTTGAAATCAGATTTTAGGTGAGAGGGGAGACTCCAGCCATAATTCTTAGATGATAGAAGTCACCCTTTGCTTCAGCCCTACCCCATGCAGTTTATGCCCTGAATTTTTTTTTGTAAAGGCTTCTTATTTTACAAACAAGATACCATCGGCTTTTCTAATTTAGCTTTTATATTTTGGATATAGGGCACAGAGGATTGGGTTATTGTAGACAAAATGCCCACTGAGGTAGTTGATGGTGATTCGAAAAAGATTGTGACTTACAAGGTGGTAACTGTGAGCAGTAAAACTGGTGAGATCCCAGCCGACTTGCTAAAACCTGGCATGATTGACATGCGTGGCTTCGATGACTTGGCCAGAGAAATGCACCTCGGGGATGAGAACGCGCAGAGGATGTACACGCTGGGGAAATCCTATGACACGGTGTCTGGCAGAATTGTCACCATGACCGGGAAAGGGAAAGAGGGGGAGAAGGCGGCGGCACAGCCCTCCCCGCTGGAAGGCCTGCAGAAGGCAGAGAGAGGCCCTGCAGAGAAGGTCAGCCCCCTGCTGGTGGAGTACGAGGTCCTGGAATCGCTGGCTGATGACGCATCCAGAAGAGGACCCGAGGTCCACACCCCGAAGCGGAGATTGTCAGAATCCCTGGCGCCCATCAAGGAGGCCGAATCTCGCCGGCAGAGCCCGGAGGAAGATGACACCCAGAAGGCTCCAAAGCCGGGAGAGGGTGCGCCTGCCCACCCCCGGGTCAGCAAACCGCAGCAGGTGCCCGAATGCGAGGTGCTGAAGGTGGGACCCTTTGGCCCACGCAGGAAGAGCCTGTCGGAGTGGCGGTACTCCCAGGAGCCGGCCTTGACCGTGGCTACTGCCCACTACGTCACCGAGTCATCCGCATCCCGAGTGGTGGTAACCAGTGGTGCTCATTCGGTCACAGCTTAAGATTCCAGCATGACAGTTTTTTTTTTAACAACAACGCCCTGCTAACCCTGAACCTTTCCCGATTCTCTTGCCGCTTGACTTTATGTTGAGAGCAGCGAACCCAGCTTCTTTTTTTTTTCCGTCGTCTTCTTCCCATGATGAAATCAGTATTGCAGCCCAAAGTCAGCAGCACTAAAACACTTCCCCCCCCTTTTATTTCTAGCTGCCCGTTCCCAAGATCCGTGACAAAGCGGCTGTGGCTTGCATTTGGAGGGGTGGGGTGGGAAATGACCTGCTTAAACCGACGCCACCCTGAACGTTGGTAACTCTGCTTCAGCACATGAGGGCTCGGGGCCGCCTGGTTTGCTATGTTATGCCCCATTCCTTTCTGTTTCCAAGCTCTGTGCGTGGACTCCTCCTTCCTTTCCCCTCCGCCTCCGGGTTTTGTCTAGCGAGTTGCCAATCTCTCTCTCTCTCTCTCTCTCTCTCTCTCTCTCTCTCTCTCTCTCTCTCTCTCTCTCTCTCTCTCTCCTCCTCCTCCTCTCTCTCTCTCTCTCTCTCTCTCCCTCCCTCCCTCCCTCCCTCCCTCCCTCCCTCCCTCCCTCCCTCCCTCCCTCCCTCCCTCCCTCCCTCCCTCTCTCTCTCTCTCTCTCTCTCTCTCTCTCTCTCGTACTTGACTCTCGTTTCTCGTTTCTTTGTTCACTCAGACCAAACAGTCTTCTGGGGAGAAGCTCATGGATGGCTCGGAGATCCTCAGTCTGTTAGAGTCTGCACGGAAACCCACAGAGTTCATAGGAGGGGTTTCATCTACTACTACTACTACCCAGAGCTGGGTGCAGGTGGCCATTCCCTCCCGTCCTTGCCGTTTTGTGACTGTGCCCGTTTGCTTTGCTTGTGAGCTTGTGCCCCGGGCATGTGCCTGTGTTTTGCATCCAAGTGGCATTGCCCTCCTCCCTGCACCTCAAAGGATGTCCGTCGTGGGGTCCCCCTCCCCGCCTCCCATGACTGTCATTCATTGCCCCTGCATGTGTCTGTCTGTCCGTCTGTCCGTTGTGGGCCCTCCATTCCACTTCGAGAACGTGCTTCCTTCACTCAGGAAACAACGGCGTTAGGTTTTAATAGCATCTGGTCTTAGGAAACATTTCATCTCCTTCGCCGGGGTCTTAAGGGCACGTTCCAGGCTAGTGGGAATGTGCACCAAAGCTTCTGACCTCCCTGTCTCTCTGTGTGTTAGTGAGAATGTGCACCAAAGCCCTCTCTTTCTCTCTGCGTGTACTTTTATTTCGTCCTGTTTCTTTTGCCATTGCTCTGAGAAAGCTGTGCGGGTCCCGGTGTGTGTGTGTGTGTGTGTGTGTGTGTGTGTGTGTGTGTGTGTGTGTGTGTGTGTGTGTGTGTGTATGTGTGTGTGTGGTGGCAGCAAGGAAAGCTTATTTTTATTGCCATCAGCCTCCCGTGCATATGAGCTCTTGATGCCGGCTTTGGGCATTGTCGTGAGTCACCACCGCCTTGGGGTTTTTTTGCTGCTTTGGTTCATGGAAGGTCACTCAGACGCTGTACTCTTCCCACACAGAAACTGGAGACAAAGACGGAGTCCGTCGAAACTGAGGCTGCGGAATCGACCCCGCCCTCCCAGCCCCTCAGCACTGAGAAGGTGATACAGGAAACCGTGTTGGTGGAGGAGAGGCGCATGATGAATGTTCAAGGCAGTGGAGATGCTTCCCAGACAGCGGGGGACGACTCAGACACAGCAGCGGGGGCCACGCCCGCAGATCCTCACCGTGCGAAAGGGAAGGAGGGCTCTTGTGTGACAGAAGCAGCTAAGGAGGAGAGGGGAGAGGAGGCCGACACACCTGTCCCCGAGCAGGAACAGCCAGCCACGGAGGAGGAGCAGCAGGTGGCAGCCACCCACCCTTCTGAGGCTTTGGAACAAAAATCTCATTTTGAGGTAAACGGCAGTTACCGTTTCTCTCAGAGGCGATCCCCTGAGAGTCAGAGGAGAGTGGTGGTGGTGCTACATCTAACTTACACCTCCTCGCGCACAGGCCTTTGGTTTCCCCCTCTGCTCTTTCACGCTGCACAGCAGTGAAGAGTCTCCAGGCCCGTCTCCAGCTTTGGGGGTGGGTCACATAGGAACGTAAAAGATAGTAAGCGCTGACGACGTATAGTTCCAGGAAGTGGCTTCTGTCATTGAAACTATAACTGACGGAAAGCACAGGGAGCCAGTGGATAGATATTAGAAAATCTGAGGGCCACAAAGATGGCCCGGTGGCCAACGGTGTTTGCCACACAAGCCTGGTGACCTGAGTTCAATCCCTGGGACCCTCAGTGGAAGCCAAGTTCTGAAAGTTGTCCTCTGACCTACACACACACAACAGCAACAACGATAGTGATAAAATGTTTTTAAAAGAAAACTTGACATTTAATTCTGATCCATTTACTTTCCCAGAAGGACCAGAAAGCATTCCTCCAACTCCCAGAACTTTAATCTTTATCACCTTTTACTGAGATTCTCCACAGGTTGGTGGGTGGCAACAGATGATTTGGTTACTAATAGCTTGTGTATACGATCATCTCTGTCAGTATTTGCATATGAGATTGAGAAGAAGGAACAGATTGTTTTTAAATACCCCTTTAAAATGTTTCCTTCCCCTCGAACATGCTACGTCAGCAACACGGTGTGCTTTGGGGAGACTGACATGAGTTCACTGTATGTCATGATCCCTGTCTCGTTCAATACGGAAACTTTTGTCACGGACAAAACTAGCAAGGACACCAGGAAGGGAGAGAAACTCACGCTGTGTGTACGCCCCCGGTAACCCCTCCCCCCTTGCTTCCCACTGACACAGTCATCTGTGAAGATGGAGACCATGAGTGTGGGCAGTGTTTCTCCAGGAGGGGTGAAGCTAGAGATCTCTACCAAGGAAGTTCCCGTAGTTCACACAGAAACAAAAACCATCACTTACGAGTCCTCACAGGTAAGACCGGAGACCTGGCCACTCTAGGGCTTCTTGCATTCAAGGGTAACTGCCCAGGTTACCAGTCCAAGAGGTTGTGAGGATCCAGCATCCAAGCCATCAAGGACAGTGCGGTCCTGTGGTCTTGTTACTGATTGTGGAGTCACAGCGACTTATCCAAGGCCTTAGACAACCTTGACGTAGGAAAGTCTCAGAAACCTGGGTGTGCAGTTTCGGATTAAGAAAAAGGCCTCACATTTGTAACCTCTCGGTTGTTAACCCTCCTTGCTTGCTGCTTTGTGTGGAGTTTACTCCTAGAGCTCCCATGTTCTACCTGAATTGGGTTGTGGGTACGGGAAGCAATTGCCCCTTCCTTCCGAGGAAATGGGTTCCAGGTTTCCCATGGACACCCACATCTGTGGATGCTCTAATCCCTTGGTTAGAATAGTATAGCATTTCCTTTATACCATGTGGACATGCTTGGGTATAGTTTAAATAATCTCTAGATGACTTACACTACCTTGCATGATATAAATGCTACGCTGGTGGTGTTTGCTGTACTCCAATGTTTAGCAAACCTCTGGACACGTTCAGTCTGGCTGCAGGTAGTTCCCATCTGTGGTTGATTGGGTCTTCATATGGGGAGGGCTGTCTCTACTCAGTCAATGCACTGCATTAAAGAGAGGAACAGCCCTATGGAGAGTAAATGCAACCACACCCGTGTGCTGTGTGTGTTCCTGTCCCTGCTTAGGTTGACCCTGGGGCGGACCTGGAGCCTGGTGTGCTAATGAGCGCACAGACAATCACATCCGAAACCACGAGTACCACCACCACGACACACATCACCAAAGTAAGTGGAACAAACACCCACAAGCTTTACTCTTGACGGCTGGAGAAGGGCACTGATCATCAAAAACCTCTGACAGGCTGGGGGTGCACAAGGAATTCATTACTTTGCCTACCAGGTGTCAAGCTAGTTGTACTGGAAAGTGAGCTTCGAAATGTCCATTATCTAACGTGAACGTGTCACCCTATGTTGGTTTCTCATTGAGGATTCATTCTGGTATCCCTGATGCTCACCCTGGGGTGGGCACAGAGTAGCTCTCATAGGAACTGGGGTCTGCTAAGCCCAAAAGAACTCTGCTTTTGGAAGCAAACAGGCTGAATGCCTGTGGCAGACTGTGCTCGTTTAGTTCTGGGGGAAGGGATGACAGGGGGACCTCACACTGCCGCCACTCTCTGCCGTTACCCCCGGTGAGTCACTCAATGATGCTGTCCTGTCTCCTTCAGACTGTGAAAGGAGGTATTTCAGAGACGAGAATCGAGAAGCGAATAGTCATCACAGGGGATGCTGACATCGACCATGACCAGGTAGAGTGTGTGTGTGTGTGTGTGCAAGAGACGATAAACAGAGAAGCAAATGTGAACACCTCGGCCCTTAGGTTCCCGGCGCTGATCTTTCTAGATGAGGATGTAACTCTAAAATGGTTTCTGAGTTTTAACTTTCCCCGGTATATATGATTTTGAGCCCCGTCTGTAGTCGCCTTACCTCACCGTTAACTGTGGGTATAGATTTAGCGCGTAAGTCTACTACACCTTGCTGCTGCTCATGCCATGTCCCACCTCCTTTTTTTTGTTTTGTTTTTTGTGTTTTGCCCTTCTGTGATTTCCTGGGGATAGGCGCTGGCTCAGGCAATTAAAGAGGCCAAAGAGCAGCACCCCGACATGTCAGTGACCAAAGTAGTGGTCCATAAAGAGACAGAAATCACCCCAGAAGATGGAGAGGATTGACCAGAGGTAAGAGGTGGCGCTGATTCTCTAGGCTTGCCTCCGCTGGCATGCGGCATGGGGCACTTCCCTCCCACCCTGGGCCTCAACTCCCCCCTCCACCCCCACCTCCCCCAGCCTCTCCTCCATCCTCGCACTGGCATCTTCGGGGGGTTGTGGGTGCCGGAGTGTCTGTGCTGTGGAAATCCCCATCGTAGGAGCTGTGTTTGCACACCCACGCCAGTTAGAGAGAAAGGGAAGAAGGCAGGGTCCCTGCTTGCCTGGTCTCTCTGCTGTCCATTTTCAACCGGGGCTTTGCCTCCTTCTCGTAACCCAGATTTGAAGTGTCAAATTTGGTCTCAGTTGCTGAGTGGCCTAATAAAAAAACAAAAACCAAAAAAAACAAAAAAACAAAGCAAGTTCTTCCGAGAGGCTGGGTTTGTGCTCCCACCCATAGAGAAATTAAGCTGTCCTCCTCCGTGCTTTTGACGACAGCATCATCCCTTGGAAATGCGCTCTTCCAAGACAGTGTTTTGCGTACGCTTCAGGCTGGCTGGGCACTAACTGTCTTTTTTGATGTCTTCTATTTCCTGTGTTCTGTGAGTGCAGATTTGTGCCTCCCCCCCACCCCGCACCCCCGTTTTCCTCCTGAAAAGTGCATGCCTTGCCAATCCGTGTGGCCAGCACCCTGAGCAGACGCTGTGTGCACACCCTTGTTGTGCATACCGACCTGCCATGCGAGAACTCGGGTGGCCCCATGCATGTCCCTAGGTGGTCGTGAATGCCGAGTGTGGTTGTAGCTGCTTCCGTGTGTACTTCTAGAAAAATAAAGGACATTGAAAAGAGGTTGTCCAGCTCTGTTTCTGGAGCATTTATGTTCACGAGGAACACCTCTTTTTAAAATAAGAAAAAGTGAATGCTGAGCTCACTCAGATTCAACTTAGTGGGATTCTTGAATGATGAAAACAAGAATAGAGTAGAGAGAGAGAGAGAGAGAGAGAGAGAGAGAGAGAGAGAGAGAGAGAGAGAGAGAGGAAAGGGAGAGAGAGAGGGGAAAGAAAGAGAGAGGGGGAGAGAGAGACAGAGAGATAGAGAGACAGGAGGGAGAGACAGAGATAGAGAGAGGGCTGCGGCCACTTGGGCGACATAATTGTATGCTGCAAACATTAACAGCTTTCTGCTGGGATGAGCCTTTTAACACCCACAGTACTTTCTGTCCCTACTGGGATGTTTTCCAAATGAGGAACTAACGGATCCTTTCTTCCCACAGGAGTAACTCAGCTTGCACAGGAACCCTGTCACGTAAACCGTTAGGAAAACCGGAGCCTATACGGCATTCCCTCTTCTAACCCAACTGACTTGCATCTGTCCGTGGAAAATTCCAGAAGAACTGACCTTGACCGCTAATGAAAGACACTGGCAGAGAGATCCTCCCATAATAAAGCAATCCAAATCAGCACCACTGAACTGATACTGCATGAAGCGATGATAAAACAAAACAAAACAAAAAATCACAAAAGAGCCGCACTTTTAATTTTCACCAAAATATCTGTCTTCAACTCTACCTGCACGTTCATAACCAACAGCATAAGCCGTGATCTCATGTAACACATCAACAACTCATGCCTTTCATAGTTTATTATTAAAGCCTCAACAAAACCGAAGTTCCATAGGTGACAAATTCTCCGTTTACAAATAAATGTTAATTACCCTGCAATGCTATCAACCCGTCTAGGCCCGGTGTGTCAGATTTACCCCAGATTAGATGTGCCAATAACCAACTTTGTTCAGTAAATGACTTGAATCTTGTCCTTGTCTAATCTGGTTTTATTATTCTCACCCATAAAGCAGTAATGACTCTCTGACCCTCTAGAAATACTTAACAATCTCGCTTTGTGTCTCAAATTTGTTACAAGGTAGAACTGATTTCTGGCACTTTGAAGTAATTCCTACCTAGCCGTTCACTCTGGTCTGCGTTCAGTCCAGAATGATTCCCGGAATTACCTAAGCAAACCTTCACTGTGTAAATGATCATTGTTTGAGGAGGAAAACCTGTATTTTTGTTAGTTTACAATATTATGAAAATTCACTCCAGGAAGACCTGTCGGATGACTTTTGCTTTGTTGTTTTTCTTTCCTTGTGATTTTTTTTCATTGATTTTTTTCTTCTTTTACTTGAACAAAGAAGGTGTTTTATTTACAAATCTGGTCCGTATTTACAATCTAGTTCAGAGCCAAGCCTTAAACTGTACATAATTTCCACTGTAATTAAACTATCTAGCGTTTAGTTATAAATAGCCTCCAGAAAGAGATATTCTCCATTACGCTGTCAGCTGCATCACAGCCCGCCGTGAATGATGTTATCGCATCACGAAATAAAAATGGCAAATGCATTGAAAGCCTTCATTTTTTTTTCCCCACGTGGAGTGATTCTGGGTTTTTTGGTGACTTAGCCCAGAGTACACCGAGGTCCTCATCTAACTCAAATATAGAGCAGTCCTTTCTAGTGAGGGTTAGAGATTCACACATTCAGCACATGGGATACACACCTCGGAGGGGTTGGGGGATGGCATCAAAACACATTTATATAAATATTCCAGTTACCTGCAATGGCTTCACAAGGGCATGTCAGGCTCTCAGTTTCAGTTTTACGAGAAAAGGGACTCAAGAGTGTGGCTAAGAACCACTGCTCACTCTTAAGGAAGATACTCCAGCTGTGATATTGATGACAGCAGATGGACAGTTGAGGAAGAGGGACAAGGAGGATGTCTGTCACAACCCCTATCCCCACCCCTCCCCTCTCAAAAGAAAAAAGAAAAAAAGGGAACAGCCTAGGCAGGAAGCCATCGAAGAGAACTCAGAGCATGTGACAAAGACGCTGAGGCGTAGCTCTACAGGGCTGATGGCTTCTGGCAGGGGTGGGGGAGGACTCAGTTCTACTGAAAGGGCAGGCCACTGGGAGTTTGGCCATGCTCCAGTGTGACCACAAGGCCAGGGGCGGTCATGGAAGGAGATGAGTGGGATTGGGGCAGCTGATGGGAAGTCCTCAGGGAGTCCATGAAAACAAACGTTATATGGAAAAGAATTAAAAGTAGACAACACTGCTCTTTCAGGTATCAGCTCCACGGCTGAATAAATGAGACGCCGGGTGTTGCAAAGCCTGTGTGGCCTCTTCCATAAGAGCTCGTTCCTCACATGATGGTAGCATGTTCCTCATGCGATGGGGGGCGGGGAGCTAAGGTCCAAAGAAATGCCTGCTTTTATTGACACCTTGTGCCACGAACAGGTCTAGTGTATCGGGCGAAAGCCTGGAGATTTAAATGAAACACAAGACGTCCAGCCATATGTGTTGAAGTGTGTGTGTGTGTGTGTGTGTGTGTGTGTGTGTATGTGTGTGTGTGTACGTGTGTTTTGTTTTTGTTTGATTTTATGTCACCGTAGTCAGGGTGTCTGCTGGGTCTTGGAGTCTTATCTAGAGGCTTCATTGGGGGAATTCTGAACTTCCAAACTCTTTGGAGAAGGAGGTACTTACAAGTCTCCCACTCACCCATGGTTGTGTTCATGGTGTGGAGCTCTTCTTTGCTTCTTCAGAGCTGTGAACCAGGAAGAAACTCTAGCACTGAATCTGGTGATTCAGTGTCCCTCGGGATGAGACTTACAGCACAGTTTTCCATGGTGCAGCCCAAAAGAGGCTTCGGCTTCCCACTATCATGCCAACTTCTAATTAGATAGCAGCATCTGCAAATTTGAATTTTTGATCTGTTGACTCATTAGCCACTGCCAAGCATTCCCTAATCCAGTAGTTTTAAAGCCCAATTTCACTAACGCAGAAATCAGGCTTACTGGTGTGAAAGACTTGTTCTTGAAGAGGTCAGTGTCACTACAATACTGTGAAAATGACCCCAGAAACACTTTCAGAAACTAGAACAATTCTATTTCTGTGAGTGGTTTGCCTCACAGAGAAGTGTGCTTCTCAATTTGTTCTCCTATTCAAGTCCAGGGCAACAAGAAAACCAGAAGGCACAGTTCCCTTTGAATATGCAGGGGAAGGTTGCAAAGATAAGAGCAGTGTAACGTGTAGCATGGTAACATGGTTTTACAATGGCAGTGATCTACAGAAACCCTAGCTGTTGTGTTAACAGCTCTTAAGAACTCTCTGTGTTTTCTCTAGACTCACTGAGTGGACGGCTAGACCCAACCAAAAAAACCCTTCAGGTAAAACGCTCCTGCTTCCACAGTGACTCAAGGGCTAAGAGCACCAGCTGCTCTTTCAATGGCCTGGGTTCAGTTCCCAGCACCCACGTGACAGCTAACAATTGTCTGTAACCCCAATTCCACAGGGTACAACACCTTCTTTTGGCCCCCACGGATACTGCACACACATGGTACACTTGCATATGCTCAGGCAAAACACAAACACATAAAATAAAAATAAGTCCTAAAAAAAATAATACTTCTGCCTCCCATGCCTGGTTCATCCCGGGTCCCTGCTATGTGGAGATCCCTGATGCCCCGCCCCCTTGTACTGGGATGAACAGAAATGATGCTGAGATAGCCCTGCTACAGGGAGAGAGGTGAGGACATCATGGCTGCTGAGGGCATCACAAGTCGTTTCGATTTCCCGAAGAACTCGCTTATCCTTTCTCAACTATATGCCTTTCAAGGTTCAGACCTCCTATGCCGTGTACTGAGGGGCCCCTGAGGTCATGTACCCTTTGGCTCATTTCTAATGATTGTTGGAATCCATTGTCTTTGTTATATATCAACTTCTTCCTAGCATTTCTATAGCTAAAGTAAGTAAATGTCAAAATTAGCTATGCCTTTGAATAACAAAATAGAGTCTATAATTTAAATCCAAAATTATGTCTAACTCATATTCCTAACTCACCAGGGTTACGTATGCCTTCAACGCTAGGCTTTCTCACTACAGCAACCCGTATTAAGAAGGGCCTGCCTTGGTTTGCTGTAGAGATGACCCTGCCTTTTAATAGACATTTACTTGCAAAGTAAAACTGAACTGTTGCATTTTTTAATATACTTTTTGATAAGCCATTGGTGTGCACCATTAATATCCCTCAATATCAACGGCCTCAACTTGCCTATAAAAAGACACAGACTAGCAGAATGGATACAAAGACAGAAGCCTTCCTTCTGCTGCATACAAGAAACACATCTCAACACCAAAGACAGACGTTATCTCAGAGTAAAGGGCTGGGAAAAGATCTTCCAATCAAACGGCCCCAAGAAACAAGCGGGCGTAGCAATCCTAATATCTAACAAATTAGACTTCAAATTAAAATCAATCAAAAGAGATGAAGAAGGGCACTTCATAGTCATCAAAGGAAAAATACATCAAGACGAAGTCTCGATTTTAAACATCTACGCCCCAAATACAAAGGCACCTACATTCGTGAAAGAAACATTACTAAACCTCAAAATGCACATAAAATCTCACACACTAATAGTAGGAGACTTCAACACTCCGCTCTCACCGCTAGACAGGACCTCCAGACAGAAACTTAACAAAGAAACAAAAGAATTAATAGAAGTTATGACCCAACTGGGTTTAACAGACATCTATTGAACACTCCACCCAAATACAAAGGGATATGCCTTCTTCTCGGCACCACATGGAACCTTCTCTAAAATTGACCACATAATAGGAAACATAGCAAATCTCCACAGATACAAAAAAATTGGAATAACCCCCTGCATCTTATCAGACCACCATGCATTAACATTAGAATTCAACAATAACACAAATCTCAGAAACCCTACAAACTCATGGAGATTGAACAATGCACAATTGCACCATCCCTGGGTAAAGGAACAAATAAAAAAAGAAATTAAAGACTTCCTCGATTTCAATGAGAATGAAGACACAACATACACAAACTTATGGGACACTTTGAAAGCAGTGCTGAGAGGAAAGTTTATAGCACTAAGTACCCACATGAAAAAACTGGAGAACAGTCATACTAGAGAATTAATAGCACAGCTGAATGTTCTAGAACAAAAAGAAGCAAACTCACCCAGGAGGAGCAGACGCCAGGAAATAATCAAATTGAGGGCTGAAATCAATCAAGTAGAAACCAGGAAAACACTGAGAAGAATCAATGAAACAAAGAGTTGGTTCTTTGAGAAAATCAACAAAATAGACAAACCTCTGTCCAAACTAACCAAAAGACAGAGAGAGAGAACATGCTAATTAACAAAATCAGGGATGAAAAAGGGGACATAACAACGGACTCTGAGGAAATCAAGAGAATCATCAGGGCATACTTTGAAAATCTGTACTCCACAAAATTGGAAAATTTAAAGGAAATGGACAATTTCCTGGATAGATATCACTTGCCAAAACTAAATCAAGAACAGATAAATAATCTAAACAGACCTATAACCCCTAATGAAATAGAAGCAGTCATCAAAAGTCTCCCAAACAAAAAAAGCCCAGGCCCAGATGGCTTCAGTGCAGAATTCTACCAGAAATTCAAAGAAGAGCTCATTCCAATACTCGTCAAAGTATTCCACACAATAGAAGCAGGAGGCTCACTGCCAAACTCTTTCTACGAGGCTACAATTACCTTGATACCCAAGCCACACAAAGACACAACTAAGAAAGAGAACTATAGACCAATTTCCCTCATGAACATTGATGCAAAAATACTCAATAAAATACTTGCAAACCGGATTCAAGAACACATCAGAAAAATCATCCACCATGATCAAGTAGGCTTCATTCCAGGAATGCAGGGATGGTTCAACATTAGAAAATCTATCAATGTAATCCACCATATTAACAATCTGAGAAAGAAAAACCACATGATCATCTCACTAGATGCTGAAAAAGCCTTTGACAAAATCCAGCACCCCTTCATGATAAAGGTTCTAGAGAGATCAGGGATAACAGGAACGTACCTGAATATAATAAAAGCAATATACAGTAAACCAACAGCTAACATCAAACTAAATGGAGAGAAACTCAAAGCAATTCCTCTAAAATCAGGAACAAGACAAGGCTGTCCACTCTCTCCATATCTCTTCAATATTGTACTTGAAGTTCTAGCTACAGCAATAAGACAACAAAAGGAGATAAAGGGGATACAAATAGGAAAAGAAGAAGTCAAACTTTCACTATTTGCAGATGATATGATAGTTTACATAATTGACCCAAAAAACTCCGCAAGGTTACTCCTAGAGCTGATAAACACCTTCAGCAATGTGGCAGGATACAAGGTAAACTCAAAAAAATCAGTGGCCCTATTATATACAGATGATGAAGTGACTGAGAAAGAAATGAGAGAAACATTACCTTTTACAATAGCCAAAAACAGCATCAAATATCTGGGGATAATGTTAACCAAGGAAGTGAAAGACCTGTATATCAAGAACT